GCCAAATAAAACAGTTTAATGATTGATAAAATAAGATGACAACTGAAAGGCATACGGTAAGCTATAAAGTAGTAGTCGTAGTAGTAGTCGTAGTAATAGTAGTATGACAGCGTGATAACACTACCACTACTGTACAGGTAGCAGTAAAAATAGTAGTAGTGTACCTGATGGAGCAACAGTGAAGAAAAAACACCTTTTGGACGAGAAACACATATAATAATTATTCTACAGTGCGTCCCAGATAAAACGAAACCGAGAATTATCGATGTTTTATCATAGCTTAATCACAACTATAATTGATAAATGACACATATTTGAAAAGCTTAGATCCTCTTCTTTCATTTGGTGCAACTCATAATAATGCATATGTCACGCATGAGTGATTAAAATCAATTTGAAGAGAGGAAACCAAAAAGTCGTTTGGCGGGCGGTATCTGAATTTCAAAGAGAAAATCACATTTCTAGAAAGTTGAGTTTTTGCCCTTTCATATGACACCTCATTCAGGAAAAATGAGCTAGGAATAACAAAGTTCTGTTTGTTTAAAGTAGTGCTTGCAATTCCATAGTTTAAAATTAACACGAAATTAACAAAAGACTTAACTCCGTTTCGTTGACAATCAGACGTAGACGAAAGACTTCATGCATGGCTGATTGTCAACGAAACGGAGTTAAGTCTTTTGTCAATATTTGCTATTTGCTACGGCAGGCAGCCAGTGAAAACGAATTTGTTTGCTAAAATTATGAAAATGTAAGGGCTACTTTAAACAAACAGAACTTTGTAATTTCTTGCTCATTTTTCCTGATTGAGGTGTCATATGAAAGGGCAGAAACGGAACTTTCTAGAAATGTAATTTTCTCTTTGAAATTCAGATACCGCCCGCCAAACAACTTTCGATTTCCTCTCTTCAAATTGATTTTAATCACTCATGCGTGAAATATGCATCATAATGAGTTGCATCAAATGAAAGAGGAGGATCTAAGCTTTCCAAATATGTGTCATTTATTCATTATACATGTAAATGTGATTAAGTTATGATAAAACATCGATAATTCTCGGTTTCGTTTTTTCTTGGACGCACTGTACAATTACTCTTCTATGTAAGTCCAATTTGAATCTCAGTCCGTCCCGGTAAAATTAGAAAGCTCCTTTAATTTACACGATCAAAATTATCAAAATTCACTTACCTTATTTCAAAACTTCGAAGCACCTGGTTTATTTTTAGAATTTGTTAATTTGCAATCTCTACAATCAAACAATTTCTGTTACCAAAGAAAGTTTCCAGAACATACTGATACTCATGTCCTATGTCCTACTCGATTCTTTCTTTTTCTTTTTTTTCTCTCTTTTGCCCTATCCCATCCTCTACTCACCAAAAATCATCTTAAAATAAATCATTGCGGAAATGATTCGTAATATGGTCAGTCTTTTTTTTTTCTCTCTCTCTCCCTCACTGTTTTTCTCCTCCTTTTCTTTATCTTCATCATCAATTTCTTCTTATCTTGTAATCAGGGTGTCATTCTTTCTCTCTCTCTCTCTCTCTATATATATATTATATCTGATTTTAATACATTTTTGTATCATTAACATTCAAAGTTTACCTAAGTGTACTGAAAAGAACATGACCATGTATTATTGATTGGTATATAACATAGCAAACACTTCAGCATTGAAAATATTTAAAGAAAGTTTATTTTAGAGGGCTGCATCAAGGCCATGTATTTGGTGTAATTTACTTGTATACGGGTATCTAGTTGGTATTATGACCTTTTTAAAATTTTAAATCTATTTTTTCTTTTTCAAAATACATGTAGCGTTAAATGCTATTTGAAGACAAGATACATGTAGGTGGAGAGTGTATGTCCAATATGTAATATTTGTTTGACCTCTTTTACTACAATTTTCTCCTGGTTTCAATTTGAGATTTTATCTGTTAGTACATGGATAAAACTGTATTTGTGAAATGCAAGTTCGGAAATTTCAACCTGAGATAAAAGTATAATTGAGTAAGATAAGTCATTTTACTGTTGAGTAATGCCTCCGGCTACTTCGTAACGGAGGCATAAAAAGAACACATTACAGTAGCCTAAATTACTGAATAAAGCAGGCAAACACAATCTCTTGGAAATGTTATACTTGAAAAAAGGACGCTCACATTTATTGACATCTCACAGTGTAAAACTTACAAACATCTCTTACACTTTTAATTCGCTACTGTACTTCCTCCTTACCACACTTCCATTCTCAAAATGACATAGCTACATTTGGAAACCAACAATTCAATTTTCCGTATTCATTTTTACATCTTTACCACACACAAAAAACATAAACTAGACAGTGGAAACAAAAGAAAACATAAAATCAACCCCAAAATCAGGGCCTTGGGAAAGGGTTCGAAAATCAAATGACTCTAAAAATTCTTCTTGCTCTCAAAGAACCCACTTTCCTCTTTACCATTCTATAAGTGTTGGTTTTTTTTTCTCCAGATATACATTGCTCCCTCATTTAAGCACAAATCACAGAAAAATCATTCCGCTTTCATTGTTAAGTTAGCCTTTTCATGTGGCATAACCATACATGTTGCTCAACTTTCAAAGTCTTGAAATTCATGTACATATTAAAGAGCTTAAAAACATTTAGTTTAGGAACTTCAACAGCTTACTCCAGGTTATCAACAAACTCTTTTCCCACCACCACCACAAGAAACTTCTACTTGATTTGACAGATCTCTTGCTAAGGAGCATCTACAAATTGCACCACCTTGGGGCGGGGTAGGAATGAGGATTTTAGTATATAGCCAAACATATATGTCCCCACATTTTGGATACTAACTTCTCAGTTCAATTATAAAAATTGGCACCTCTCTTAGACTTAGACTCTCTTAGACAAAAAAGACTTATGAAAATCTGGAACATTCATGTACTGTTTCAGCAAAATGCACATTCCCTTGACAACAAGTCCATGTATAAAAAGTAGAAATAGCTTTAAAGATAACTATAAGTATTTAAACTGATGTTAACGATAAGTAAGAAGAAACCAAACTCCTTACCAGTATTCACCAGGGTGGGATAGGAGTTCAAGGGGTGCAATTTGTAGATGCATCAGCGACTCAAAACATATTTTATCTCATTCATCATAATCAAGGATAACTCTTAAACATATCTGTACATTTCACTGTTTAACCTATAATTTCTTATACATTGCATACTGCTTGCTCAATTACATCTTTTTTTTCCTGATAATACCATACGACTTCTGTCAACTCTTCAGTAACTTCGGATCTCTCTACACCGTGCACAACGTTTGCTGTGTTACAGAATGCTACAAAAACACTCCAAAACCAACAGAAACCAAATTACATGTACTTAACATTCTTTCTTGCTCAAAACTCCCTCTTGGACTGTAATTCCCAGTTGAAAAAACTCCACACAGACAGTTCTTCTCAATCTCTGTCACAATTCGGTCCAACTGTTGATTTACTGGAAATGATGGCTTAGAACTTGAAAAACAATGGGGTAATTTGTCAAACTATGGAACAACTGTCATGCTTTCTACGTCTTATATGCACAAATCTACAGGTTATGGTTCACATTTGTAACAACATACCACCCAGTAAGCATTCTTTCTTATTCCTTTCCATGTCTCTACTGTTCCCAACTTCTTTTCTTAACCAAAACACCACATAAGTCTCTATAAAATTTTACTGAATTCATTTCTCAAAAACCCTCTTCACAACTGCAAATCTGAAGGTTCACTAAACAAAATACAACTTACTTATTCCTTTTCATGTCTCTACGATTCCCCGACTTCTTTTCTTAACCAAAACACCACTGAAGTCTCTCTAATTATACTGTATTCATTTCTCAAAAACCCTCTTCACAACTGCAAATCTGAAGGTTCACAAAACAAAATACAACTTACTTATTCCTTTCCATGTCTCTACTGTTCCCGACTTCTTTTCTTAACCAAAACACCACTGAAGTCTCTCAAATTTATTGTATTCATTTCTCAAAAACCCTCTTCACAACTGCAAATCTAAAGGTTCACAAAACAAAATACAACTTACTTATTCCATTCCATGTCTCTACTGTTCCCCGACTTCTTTTCTTAACCAAAACACCACTGAAGTCTCTCTAATTATACTGTATTCATTTCTCAAAGACCCTTTTCACAACTGCAAATCTGAAGGTTCACAAAACAAAATACAACTTACTTATTCCTTTCCATGTCTCTACTGTTCCCGACTTCTTTTCTTAACCAAAACACCACTGAAGTCTCTCAAATTTACTGTATTCATTTCTCAAAAACCCTCTTCACAACTGCAAGTCTTAAGGTTCACTAAAGAAAATACATTTGTGTACGATTTTGAACTAACTTGGACGACTTCAATGACTCATACTTTTTTTCAATGCCTTGTCACGATCGCAAAACTTTCCCTTTCAGTTTTCACAAAGACCCACTCCTCAGAAACTTCTTGGCAGGGCATATCTTGAAACTTCAAAATGCTGCACAAACTCTACACATCTTCGCACAGCTTGTGCTCACAGGAAATGCTCATATCTTTTACTTTTCAGTTTTCACTTATTGCAATGTACTATGTAAGTTGTCTTGAACTGGACTAACTCAATTCATTTTTGCACATATCGTGCACACTTCTCTTTGCAATGTAAGTCTTTAAACTTTCAAATGCTGCACTGGACACAACTCGCCCTTGCTCATTCATTTTCGCGCTCACTTAAACAGTTTTATTTTTTCTTGATTTTCATCTTGCTCTCTTCTTTATCACTCTGGAAACGTCACTCAAAGTCACACCTTTCTCCAGCGCATTAACAAACTTACCTTTGAGTGACGGTGTCCTTCTGACTTACGAAGAGGTATGCTTTGCCGTTAAGACTGCATCGCAGTATCAGTGACTTTAGGTGGCATGAAAAATGAGATAAGTTCACTTAAAACTTTTAAAAGTATGGTAAAATACTTATCTAGACAACAGCAGTCATTTCCAGTCGAGTCCTTAATAACCAATAACGATACTCAGCTTATGGAAGGTTGAGAGGTAGGAAAAATTGATTCTCCCTTATAAACATACACTTTATTTGTTTAAAGCCATAAGGGCATTAACTTTACATAAATGTATGGGAGTTTAATGTCTTTCTGGCTCTCAGCGCACAAAGTGTTAGGTTGGTTCGGGAATTTAAAACTAATTAGCGTTTAAATAGAATACAGTTTTCAAAATGCACATACATCCTTAAAACATAAGGTATCATATTCCAGAGTTGAGTCTGTCTGGATTCTTTACCCTATCCCCATCATTATTTTTAAAAAATAAAAAGGAAGAGGCAAGAAGGAAAAAAATGGGAGCTTTCAAATTGCTGGATCAACATACTGTTCATGTACATGGACATAAGGACAGGTAACATGTACATGGGCAATATTTACATCATCAATTCTCAGACTAAAAATTATCGATGAGAAAACTCATCGTACTGTACAATCCTTCACTCACATCCATGGAGGGTATACCTACCAACCCGTTGACTTAGTGAAATACTGTCCCCCTGTTTCTCCACTTTGAGGGGATTGGCCACTCCATGATTGATTCGAGTAACCGACGTCACTCGCTGAGAGTCCTTGGGCACTTGAGCTGCCTCCTCCTCCACTACCACTTCCGGCCGTGCCACTGTTACTCGATCCACCACCACCCGGCGTGCCAGCCTGGCCGGGCCCCCCAAGCCCTCCCAGCATGTTACCCATCATACCAAGCCCCGCCTGGCTCAGAGCGGCTGCTAGCACAGCCTGGTTGAGTTGCATCTGGCTGAGGTTACCCTGTCCACCGGATCCGCTTCCACCACCTCCACCTGCCCCAGATCCACCCCCAGCAGAGCCCCTGTCCATGGGACCGTGTCCGCCCCCACCTCCGCCTCCGCCTCCGGGCCCGTCCCGTCCCCCGTCACGCCCTCCTCCAAATCCTCCGCCCCCGTAGCTTCCTCCTCCTCCTCCTCCTCCACCCCCGCCCCCATAGCCACCACCCCCTCCTTGCCTGAAGCCACCCCTGTCACGATTGTAGCCACCGCCGCCGCCGCTACCTCCTCGATGGTATGCTGGAGATAAAAAAAAAAACGAAATTGATATTTTTTCAGGAAGAACTTAACATCTAGTCCAACTGGTATAATTCTATTACAAGGTTCTCATTTATTTAACCTTCTTATAACTTGAAATAGATGATGTTATCAATTCATAAAAGAGAATCTTGAAAATTGACATCGTAACATGCCAGTACTATCCTTTGACAATGGAAACTTTTTGTACTTTAAATTGAATTGTAATATATATGTCTTTTTGTTTAATCATTCATTTGTGTATAGTGACTTTCGATATCATATTTCTATATATTTGTTCCAAATTCTGGAACCCTCGGTGGAACAGCGCCACCATGTGGTGAATGCTGGGTTGGGCTATCCAGCCGTTTATCTCTAATAGTATGTGTTCATAATGTGTAACTTTTCAATTATTGTACTTCTTTTTTATACTGAAATAAATTCAAATCAAATCAAACATCATCTGACCAGCAGCGAACCAATTTTATTGGCCTATGTGGGACTCTTCTTACAGGGACTGCTGGTGTGACCAGCTATCAACAATTATCTGTTGGTACCTGAACTGGCTTTTGTTCCCAATTGCACAATATATAAAACAACAACAACAAAATGGGACACAAAATGTAATACCTTTAACAAACATTTATGAAATTCATGAAAATAGTCCACTTGTTGACTATTTATGGAGTGATAGTACTTACAGTCCATGTTATTGCCATATCCACCTCCTCCTCCTCCGCCATATCCACCACCGCCTCCTCCGCCACCATCACCATAGAAACGGTCTCCTTCCTTGCCCATCATGCGTGCCTTTGGTTCGGCTCGGTTGATGTACACACTGTTACCCTGTAAGAATTGAAGAGAAAAAAGAAGAAGCATGAATTCAGTGTGAAATAAAAACTATCAGTACAAGTTCTGCATGAGAAGAAACATTTGGCAAAACCCGGCAAGTGCACCTCAGGAGATTGGTAAAGTAATCTTAGACATACAGCATAAGCGTCTCCTGGGGTGGACTTTCCGGGTATGCTCGGTTGTGTACAGATGTTTCTTGACTTTAGCATTAGCATACAGATTGTGTGATTATTGTGCGCATTGCCCACTTTCCAGACACCCAATATACCCTTTTCACAATATTTCACAAGAGGACCCCCTCCAGTTAACACCTTTATGGCCTCTTTTGGGGGAATCCTACCAAGTACCAGGTACATGCTAAGTCTGCTAAAGTCTGTTTACTGCGCTACTGTAGAAACAGAATGGTTGCTTACTTTTTAGGTCTATCTGGGTAGCTAAAAGATAATTTTTTTTTCAGGTCTTCTATCAAAATATGCTTTTAGTACTCAAGAGGTTAAAGGCATCATTTAACAATGTTAAATCTGAGATGCACGGCCCTTCGAGTTATCAGTGTCTGTGATATGGTGTAATATTGAAGCCCTACAAAAATTGTGATTAAAAATGATCAAGAAGTGCCTCAAAAAAGTAAAAATCTTTGAGTGACCGGTTTTACCATACTTGTTTTTCCCAATAGACTGTAGTGTTATGAAAACCGTTAGGAAAACACAAAATTTTGTTTCGATTTCCAATCAAAAATTTCTTGATAATCAGACAGGCGATCGGCTTGTAAAAGTCATAGGGTTCCTGACTGACCTAAAGGTTTATAATTATCATTGCAGCATGAGCTAAATCCAGGATTTTGTTTCAGAATCTGAGACAAAGTTACAGGATCCCTCTAAAAACAGCCTTTCATAAGCCATCCATTTAGCATCATACTCTGCTTACCTTGATGATGAGGTCTTCACCCACGATCTCATCAGCATCCTTGGAGCTGTTCATTGTCACAAAGGCGAATCCTCTGAACGGCTTTGGGATGAAGACATCGACCACCTCGCCATACTTGCTGAAGATGTCAAAGAGATCTTCCTTGGTTGTGTCTGATGTCAGTCTTCCAATGAACAGCTTCTTACGACTGGGTTGCTGTGAGAAAGGAAAGAAAGAAGTGGCAATGTGTGAGAAGTGTGTACTTTCTCAACTCAAACTTTTTTCTCCTGGTAACAGAGTTTTGGAACTTGATTAAAAGATATGATTAAAAAAATATATAAACATCTTATTCAAATTGCCTAAGATAAGCATTTAAAACATTATTGTGTAACCTGATTTCCTTAAAAAATAAAAAAAAGTATTTCTTAGATTCACAAAGTAACCTCTGATTGCTTCAATGCACATATTGACCCAAGATATTTTCTTAATAAGAAAATTCAAGTCATCAATTATGACCTGGGCAACTTTAAAAATAGACTGTCACATACAAGTATATATATTTTTCCTTTTGTTTCAGATTGGTCATGTATTTTTCTCCTACTTTAAAATGTGCCTTTCCGAAAATAACGTTGTGGACCAGTGGATATGTCACTGGACTGGTTTACATGGTTCGCAGTTTGAGGCACTATACCATCCTTTGCAAAGGTACTAATCTACATTTTCCACTCTCCACCTAGGTGTAGTAAGCAAGTGCTTGAATGAATTAAATCTTTTAATGCTTTTGGTACCTTTTAGGGAAGCTGGTCACCTTGAGCATCCCCTGGGATGGATACGTGTGCAATATACATGTACAGTCAAACCTGTCTACAGCAACCGCCCAAGGAAAACACAATAAGTGGTCTTTGTAGAAAGGTTCCTTTAGTACATGTTTCAATGAGAAACCATTTTCAAGGGAAACAAAAAATGTGGTCCTTGTAGACAGGTGGTCAGTAAAGAAGGTTTGACTGTACATTTAACTGTAGCCATTATGATGAGTAAAGTTCTGCAAACATACCACTGCTCCACCTGTGTTTGGGTATTTGACCTCGCACCATCGACTCGAGAGGTCAATCTTATGCCTCTTCTCTACCACGCCTTCCTGGGAGTCGACGTCCTTGTAGCGGATGAACCCAAAGCCCTTGGACTTTTGAGTGACGGGGTCTCTCTTCACCTATAGAGGATCGAACAGGAAAACATGTCAGTACTAGGTGAAGGGCATGTTTAGTCCATAAAGGGATGGGAAACCTGTGATTAATACAAAGGCTTTTTTGCAACAAACTATCATTACTTCTAAGCTTGTGAACATCCCACTGGAACGTAAGCCTTTCTAAAGCCTTGTCAGCTGGATGTCTGAAAAGTTGTGGTAATCAAAATGATTTCTGGCAGGCTCAAATTTCTTACTCCTACTTTAAAGGTATTACAAAGTTTTGGTATGGGATCATGAATTTGGTTCAAATTAACATATTGAAAGCATATGCGTTCCTACAATACTCATTGATCGTTGTCCCGGTTGAAATGGAGTCTAAAGTTATGAAATTATAAATAATAAACTCTGTATGTTGTATAGCTCCCTCTCAAGGTCAAGATATTAAATTAGCTATGAAACAATGTTTCTTGACTAAAATCGACCGATAGCTATTCCCGTTTGGAAATTATATATCACAACTACATATTCTGAGATTTTCATGGTCGCAGCTACCATTTTACGGCCGTAGGCGCTATTTGAAATTTATCAAAATTTACCGGGAGCACCGGTAAATTTTTATATTCAATTTTTCTCGAAAACAGAAGTGTTTTAGGGGTTAATTTTTTCAGTGATTATAATACATCCACATGGGCATCCAAATATATCAAAATTGTAAAGATTCACTATCCACCCAATTTTCAAAATTTCCCAAAACTTTGTATTACCTTTAACACTGCCCTAGATCTACGGGTCAATATTCCTTGTCTTGGGGAATATTTTACAATTTGGAGAGGAGCATAACTTGGTGGGTTTGGTTGTTTGTTTAACTCCTAAGAAAAACAGCAATTGCAGATTATAACAATAGGTTAGCATTGACATGCATATCAACATCATCAATTTGTGGTAAGAGAGTAGTGGGTACAGAGTTTTTACCAGTGCATTTTAATACTGTTCAAGCTAAATGCTAATGACATCGACAAGTCTGGGGGCAAATTCTACCTGACAAACGTACAACAGTCACAGCATGACAGCAAGGCTGAAAAATATGTCAAAATTGACTCACGTGTGCCATCAGAAGTTCACCATACTTTCCAAAGTACTCCTTCATCTCTTCATCGGTAGTGTTGTAGTCTAAGCCTAGGACAATCAGGTCTACCGTCTTGGCCTCGATCTTTCTCGTCTTGCCAACCGGGTTCTCCCGGTTGTCTTCACCTTTCCTCTTGTTCTCTGATGAGATCGATTGCTCTGATAGAAAAAACAAATACATGTATGAATGTTGGAACCAATGCCAACAACTTTTTCTAGGAGCTTCATTCATATAAATTTAATCTGGAAAAAAAGGTGATGCAGGCCTTGAACTTCAATATTTTTAGGGCAAGGCCACTTTTCTGTAGGGCACATTCCTATATTATAAGCATAAATAGGAAGAATTGCAAAGGGCACACATAATCTCCAAGGCCAATGAGAGGGGCATTGAGGCCAATCAAAGGGGCATCCAAGGCCATGGCGGCCTTGGATTAAGCCCTGTGATGTGATCCACATATGTCTACTCGTATTTTAATTAATTTCAATGTTTAACTGGCAAATCTTTATACAGGTAGTCTACTTTGTACAAATTAGGCCAAGTAACAAAAATAACATGTTTCTCTTCCGGACTTCTAAAAAAATTGGAGGAGGCAGGGCATTATTTACTAGTTTTTTACCAGAGTCTAGGCCTACTTTCCAATTTTTTGCTATTTTGTTCCAAAATGTCTGCCAAGCAGTCTGTACGCAGCAGGATATGCTAATGAACAAAAGGAACAATTTTATTATTCGTCTCCCAAGCTCTCCCGATTTACGGGATTTTACGAGAAATTAACTCTCCGAACGACTGAGCTGTGATCATGGTGATTGTGCAAGCCATGACTTGATCTTGCAGTCCAATAAATAGATCTAATAATCTTTTCTTTTTTTTTGGGGGGGGGGACCTTAATCTGACATTATTTGACAAAGACACGTTGGATTAAGGAAGCTGCTATTTCAAAAAGTTTATTTTGCATGCATTGAAATTAGTTTTATTTCTTTGCTGGATCCCGAGTCCGAGTTGTGACCTTCACTTCAAGTTCATTCATCTATTAGTATTATTCGGTCATAAAAATTAAGTTATCAGCATCAGCATCAGTATACGGAAGTGTGAGGTGATCCTGTTGAAACTTCCGGTCGTTTCATTGAGTGGTGCTTCGTTCGAAAAAGAACCTTAACTATTTTTGCTCGCATGGCGGGTGGACGCACAAATAAATTTTATGGAAGCATTTGGTGCTGAGAGGAACTATGAACTTGTGAATATCTAAAAAGGCTTCATGAAGAATTTCATGTCTTACCTAGAACTATTCCCTTTGGGAAAGTAGCAACGTAAATGAGATCTTCCCAAACGCCATCTGATCGCGGAGCATACACACGCTCGTCAATCACACGCAATCCACGGATGCCCTGGCTCTGCGGGTTACGGTACTTCAGGCCGGTAGCACTGGGGAACTGGGCGATGATTGTTGATAGCATGATGGTCCCATCTTGCTCGACAGGTAGTTCAATAATGGAGTCCGGATCGGTCTCATTTTCCGTTGCAGCGACACGAATAAAATCCATGATTTATGGCTATAAAGTTTCTCTGGACAGAGAGAACAAAATGTTAGAAATTTCTCTTCACTAAAGAAGCTAACAAGAAAAAAATGTGGTGGCGACCTTACCGGCTTTTCTCAAATTTTCAAAACCAATATGGACGCGATCAAACGTACCACGCGAGAAATAAGTGGACAGGGCCAGCTACGGTCAATTAACTTTAGTCTAGTGATGCAGACCTAGTTTCAGTTTTTCCTGTTTCTTTTAATTTGCACAACATTTCCCCCGGCATTTCCCCCACCGTGAATCTATAGAGAGATTTGATTTAGTCTGCAAAATATAATGTTAATCGGCCACAGATCAAAATTTCATTAGCGTAACAAACAATGAAAGAATGAAAGCCAGACAAAAATGTTCGACCGCCAAAGTAGTGAAGCTAGAGTTTCTTGAACACGATTTTTTTTTTCACAGTGGCCCGTTTTAGGTGTAGGCTATACAAGTACAATTTATATATATATATATATATATATATGCCTAATTAAGAAGAGAATTGTGAGTCCCCCTCTCATTCCTAGATACACAGTGAATTCAATACGTTCTTGGTGGACCAAATAAACTATCGATGTAGCCATGCAAGCAATATGAAACAGAATATGGCAATACAAAAAAGATGGAAATCCCAATAAAGATTTGTTTTTTGAAACCTTCGTTCCACGAGTTGTATCTGATTTTAAACAATTTTGATAGATCTTACTTTATATCAGCCATGTCTATAGATAATCATAAAACCTTTCATTGTAAATTGCCAGTTTTATCTTGTCAACTTAAGTTATAGCTTTCTGTTCTCTTGTATGTAGACGCAGTGCACAAAGCATACATGTTATAACTTGATTATCATGATTATTGCATTCAATACAGTATATTCAAAGTATAGTTTTATAGAACTTTATTATTCTGAAGCCGGGGTAAGATATCAGGGCCCTGCTCAGTGCGCGTGAGATTGCGTGAGATCAGTATTATACTGCTGAGGTCACCATTTTCATTATTATCATTATTATTATATGTTTGTGACATTTGGATTACTTATTCATCTCTACATATTCTCATTTCTTAAAAATCAAGTAACTGAATTGACGGCTTTTCAGCTTTTTAATCTGTATGAATCACGTTACATGGACTATATAATTGTTAATTATTTTGTATACATAATAATGCTTCCTCCAATTGAATACACACACACTCTCTCTCTCTCTCTCTCTCTCTCTCTCTCTCTCTCTCTTTTTTTTCTTTCTCGCATCCATTTTTGTACGGGGGAGGGGCTCGATCGAGCCTCCCCCTCTTTCCTCATCACCCCCCCCCCCCCCTTTATAATTATAGTTACCGACCGTTACCGTTACTGCCCAACACCGATGGACACAATGGAGCATAATTCATTCTTCTTTTTCTCCTTTTATACAGGACTCATATATAAACTGATGAACTTATAAATTGATCCCTAAAATTGCATTAGATCTACCATATAGTGTGTAAGAGTTTTCTTATTCAAAATAATATATTTCAAAGGCCTAGTATCTCAACCAGTTCCTTGAATGTTAAGGGGTCTTCGAGAGAAGACAATTTCCTTTGTTTTGGCCTGAAAAGTTCCTCCCAGTGATCGGCCGACCCCCTTTGTCCCGAATGAACGCTCCCGGTATAGATTTATCTCAATTCTTTAACACACATTCGGGGAAAGCCGATACCCTATATTGTGAAAGAAAGGAGTACATTCTGATTTTTCACAAGGGGGTATCAAGAGCGTCCTGTCGCCGTGGTGTTTGCATTGATGCACTTGTCGCAATAAGTTTACAAGTGGATCAAGTTATCGAAAGTAGCTATCTGTTGTTTATCTATATCAAACAAAATGCCGGCTAAAGTAAAGAAGAAGAGAGCGAAGTCAAAGTCGCCAGGTTCAGCGGAAGAAAAGAACAGACCACGTCCAGATCCTATTCCACCACAAGACTTTGGGCCAGAAGAACCCAAACCATCACACCGAGAAAGTGTAAGTTTGTGGTGGCTAAATTGGCTACAGTACAAGAATACTTAGTAATAGAACAGGTGCATGTATTCTGTAAATGCGTGGTGGACAAAATTACTATGATGTACTCATTATTACCTTAATGTATAAACATGAAGGAAGACAGAAATATATATTTTTGTTATGGTGATATAATTTTTACTATTATTAATGTGTGTGGGTTTCAAGTAAAAGTATTTGTAATGGAATCCCCTTTCATAAGGAAAATTCTTAGTATAGACTAGATCTACATGCAATTTATGTACATGTGTAAAGGTAATCTTTATTTAATATTGGTATTAGTAAAATGTGTGCCCTTTATACTAAAGCATTTCTTTGCAGATTAAAACATTGACCCATTTTATGTACACAAATTATTTGTGTTTGTATTCATCTTTTTAATGTAATTTCTATTTGGTGGATTTATAAAATGTATGAGCATTTCAGTTTTAGATTTCAAAATGTAACATATGTAGCATTTACTTACAAACTTATATCCTTTTTGCTCTGCTTATTTGTATGCCCCTTCAGCTTCAAAAGGTGCTAACCGGAGACCGAGTCGATCTCCAGACCAAGGAGTTCATGGGATGCAGAATATCCACCAAGGTTTTTGAACAGCTCACGACGCATGAGATACGCGATCTCAAGACTGTCTTTGATGCCTTTGCTGATAAAAGGGGGTAAGTTGAGTTTACCCACCAACTACTGAATTATTTTATATCCATAGACTTTAAACAGGGGCCAACCGGTTCCCATAGGCAATCGGTTAAGGCGGTGGCGTAGATGGGGTTGGGTGGGGATAGGTAAAGGGGCTCAATGATCCCTCCCCCCCCCCAAAAAAAAAAGGATGGAGAAAAGAAAATGATAGAGAGGAAAAAAATTAAAAGAATAAGAACAAGAAATCCAATGATATAACTTCAATTTCTCACCCTTGTTGATTATTTGATTTATTTTTATTTCATGCATCTAGAAGACCAATGCTTATATTACCCACAATTAGCCAGCTCATGTACTGTTATTTTTGATTAAATAATTAATTAACGGTCACCATGTTTTTTTTTAAAGTGGAGCTGAATTGGTATGATTGTATTGGCTAAATTTCACACATTTTGGGGTCTAAAATTACCTTCGCAGCAATTTTATGTTCTAAAAGGGCACTAAATGTCATAAATAAGAATAGGAGCAATAACCATGCACTTTGAGGGCATTTGTGGTCTGAAAACAGAACTCAACTATCCCTTTAACCTTGTCTGTTGTTTTCAGTCACAAAATCACTGTTTGCAGTTCCCAAGTATGTTTCCTCTCAAAAGTAAACTGATTACCTGTATTCCCCCTTCTCCCCCTTCTTTCCATGGAAACTATATGGATGTATAATTTTAACCTAGGTACCCATTTTCAACATTGTTTCAAAATAGACTCCATTTTTTTTTTAGGGGGGTTGGGGGGTATGAAATATTGTTTTCATTTTTGATATTTTTTGTTGTTGATTTTTTTGGATTTTTTTAAAACTCTTCTCTTTTTTAATTCACCTAGGATGATTCGAGCTGACCATATCCGGAGAGCCATGAGATCCCTTGGGTTCAAAGTATCCAAAACAGAAGCGGTTGCCATGGTAGCTGATATTGACCTTGATAGATCAGGGTAAGTGTTCTCTCCATGAGACAATCTCAGATTTTTCCTTTTCTTTAAAGCCCCACTGCACTACTTATAGCTACTTGCGACCTCTATATACCTAACAATGCCCAATCGGTGACCATCGGTCCCCCATGATCTTTTTCTGATATTAATTGAGAGCTGATTTGATGAGATAACCACCTGTCAGTGACCATGCAGGGAGGTCTAATCCTTCCTGGCCAAACTAGTGCAGAGGGGCTTTAATACAGTCCATGACAAAGTTGTTTGTATTGCTAGGAGTTGGTTCTATAAGAACCTCTAGCAATGCCTTTTGAATGTCACAGAACGAAGCATGGAATTAATTTTTTGAAATGCTAAAGCGGCGTAATGGCAGCCATGCTAAAGTCGGGGTAATAAATGTGGAGCACCAGGAGTTTCAAGTCTGACAGATATAAGAGCTATACAAGAACCCATCATTATTATTACTGAAACCATTCTGGCAGATTCCTTGCAATGTATCCTGAGCAACATATCTTTCATCTAATTTATTTTCTCCAAAAATGACAAATATCTTGATTTAACCATTTGATAGTTTATATAAGGATTAAAGATAAAGTTGAATTCTGGTCATGCGATTGCATTGTGAAAGAAACGGTGTGGAATTGACCAGAAAAGGTTGATCAAGACTTTGTGTGTATTGCAAGGTTCTGGAATCATCAAAATGATAAGAAATTTGGCCAAGTCTTGGTAAAGTTACAACACTGTACACAGAAAGATGTGTATGGGACTACACGAAAGTGGCGTAAAAATCCCACCCCCGAGTTTTACGATGTTATACATGACATATTTAGAATATAAAGGCATTTGAAGAGCCATGCTTTTCAGGGAACATGTCTTATCTGATGTTCTTCCACACTTGCATAATAAGAATGATGACGCTCACAAATTATTTTTCACCTCTTCCCAGAACTCAACCTTCTCTTTAACTTTAAAGGAATGGTCAAATCATGGGATTTTCAATGTTGAATAAAATAAATGGATAAATGGCATCGGGTATATGTGCATGTTTATAGTATGGGACACATTCCCCTTAACTGCCCTTCTCTTGAACAACATGTGTCTTATCTTGCTAGCTAGCCCTCCTGCCTCTAGTAATTATAACCTTGCAAACATTGCAGTTTGAATATGGTTGAAATTTTAATGTCAGCTTTCGCATCAATGCCCTTTGGGTGAGTTTCATGAATGAATAAATAAATATAAACCTTTTTTATAAATACTAAATGGAATTACAAATGGATTATATCAACTAAGCAAACAAAAAGCAAATAGAACAAATAGGGAAACATACATGAACATTGTCTTTTTCTGTATTTCTTTTGTAAAACAATTCATATACGGGTACATTATCATTTTCTTCAGGACCATCGACTTCAACGAATTCCTCCTTTTCATCATTGACAAGCAAGGCACAGCTAGAGATGTACAGGCTGAAATATCACAAGGATTTAAAATGATGGATTATGGTGAGTTTTAGAAAATTTTGAGGTGTCGTGGTCCGGTGGATAAGTCGTTGGACTGTGGATCACAGGGTCCGTGGTTCAAGTCCCGCCACGGCACTATTGTCCTTTGGCAAGATATTAATCTACATTTGCCACTCTCCACCCAGGTGTTAAGTGGGTACCGGTAGGAAGGAATTCCTTGGATGCTGTGAGCGCGAAATCAGCTGCCTAGCAGAGCCGGGGTTATAGTTCGAGCTCCTGGAGCACCATGCAAGGTGGATATGTTCGCTATATAAATATCCAATATTATCATTATTATTATTACACATAGTTGTATTCCGTTTTAGTGGTACTGTCTCCCTTGTACTACACTAAGATTTGTTTAAAAACAGTATGATTTGATTACCCACCAAAACTTTGGATAAGATTTAACGACAAAAATAGATGGTGATACTTATAGGATGCTTCATTGTTTTTGAATAGATGCTCAAGGTAAGATAAATTACATTTAATACAATGTTTAACAAAATTATAATGGGAAAACATACTATCTGAACTTTTTGTAATGATCGCTACTGAAAAAAGTGAAACACACGTATCCAATTCTTAGGTGACTTTTTTTTAGAAAATTTTTATTCCTCACTTACAGTACCCCACTAACTTTAGGAGTTTTACAGGGCATAAGTATTCTTAGCACCTTAGCATTATTTTTTAAATAGATTATACATCCTTTTTTAGAACAAGGAATACAAAGAGATGTTTTTTTTTTGTAATGATAAAGGAAAGGTGCATGTAGCTGTTTCTTTGCTCTGAAAATTATACCAGTTTTGACCATGAATGTGAAATCTTAAGGCTTTTGTGGAAGATACGTAGGAAGGTACATGTATGTTGTATTCAGTGGTGGCTTATTCCACTGATCTGTAAACACACACATTTAACTCTTAAAGGTATTACAAAGTTTTGGTATGGGGTCATGAATTTGGTTCAAATTAACATATTGGAAGCGTATGCATTCCTACAATATTCATTGATTGTTGTCGCGGTTGAAATCGAGTTTAAAGTTATGAAATTGTAAATAATAAACTTCTTATGTTGTATAGCTCCCTCTCAAGGTCAAGATATTAATTTAGCTATGAAACAATATTTCTTTTCTAAAATCAACCGATTAGCTATTCCTATTTGGAAATTATATATCACAACTACGTATTCTGAGATTTTCATGGTCGCAGCTACCATTGTACGGCCATAGGCGCTATTTGAAATTTATCAAAATTTACTGGGAGCACCGGTAAATTTGTATATTCAATTTTTCTCGAAAACAGAAGTGCTTTAGGGGCTATTTTTTTTAGTGCTTATAATACATCCACAGGGGCATCCAAATATATCAAAATTGTAAAGATTCACTATCCACCCAATTTTCAAAATTTCCCAAAACTTTGTATTACCTTTAAAATGGCAATTGACAATGACAAAATAAATCATGGCTTGCTTCAATCCACAGATAACACAGGTAAGCTAACACTGGACAACCTGAAGCGAGCAGCCAAGGAATCGGGTGTGAAGTTTACAGAGGCCGATCTGAGAGAGATGGTCGAGGAGGCTGATAGGAATGGAGACAACATGGTAGATCTTCAAGAATTCTCTACCATCATGCTCAAAACCAATCTATTCTGAAACCAATTTGTTGCACTAGATTTGTCTCGTAAAGCCCCATTGTACTACTTATAGCTACTTGTGCCCTCTATATAGCAAACCATGCCTAATCAGTGACTGTTGGTCCCCCATGATCCCCCTTTTTTCAATGTTAATTGAGAGCTGATTTGATGAGATAACCAACTGTCAGTGACCTTGCAGGGAGGCCTTATCCCCCTGGCCAAACTAGTGCAGACAGGCTTTTTAAAGCCCCACTGCACTAGTTTGTCCAGAACATAAGACAAAGGGGATCACGAGGGAACAATGGTCATATAGAGTGCGCAATTAGCTACAAGTAGTGCAGTGGGGCTTTAGTTGTGAGAAATATTAACAGAGAACTGATACTAGCTTGCCTTTTGCTAAAAATTTGTGATTTTATTATCATCAGGCCAACTATTCCTTGGATTTAATTTATATGTCTCACAGAAATTGAGAGGTACAATATAATTTCATGTTTATTTTTACTCTAATCTTTTCTATAGTAGTTTTCTTAAACTGTCTGGGATATCAAGAAAGCCCAAAGTTTTCCCATTTTCACCGTGAAGTGCTTGTTGGCTGTTTTTTAACAAAAGGAATTTATGACTATCAAAATCAGACAATTCAAAAAATGCACCTTCTTATCTTTCTAATGAAGACAGTTACATTTTTAAAAATGTAATAAGTTTAAGTAATATTGCATTATTGTCACATTTTGTGAGGGTTGATTTCATGGTATTGAACCATAGAGTGATGCAAAACATATGTTTCATGACCAGCTGTGTAAACAATTTATTAAAAATTTGTTCCAATTTTTTAGAGCCGTGCTTCCTTTATGCTGTTTGTAAACATATAAATGTATTTATTGTATATTTTGTATTTACATAATATCTTCCACATATATCAAAGTACTGGTATTTTTTAGGTACATGCATTAACTGTCAAAATTGTAATTATCTGTATATTTTTTTGTAATGTATAAAAGAGTGTATTAAACGTATTTTAGAAATCCATTTCTAGGATTTATGCAATTTTTTGTTTGTTTTTGGATTTGAATATACAAACTTTCACATAATATATATCACATACATCATACAGGCACTCAAACATTCAACATTTTGCAAATATATATCTGAACAATATTTAATTTTAATTAAAAATTTCAGAAAAAAGACACTTTTTCGTTTAAAGTGTTCAACAATATTTTATTTCTGATTATAAATCTCAAGGCAATCTCTGTTGGTACAATTATTCAGATGTTTCACAAATGACAAAGTACAGTATGAAAAAGGATATACAGTCAGGTATACATACACAAGTAAATTGACCTTTGAACTTTAAACAGAGAATAAAACAGTGCTGTGTTAATAATTTGTGTGTGCATTCAGCTATCCGAAACATCTTATGAAATAATATGATCTGTATGAAAGTGTCAGATCAAATCTTAACCCAAAATGAAGAGCACTCTGATCCAGTATAAACATTTGAAAGTGTCAAGTTTTAACAGGACGTTCATGAGATATCCAATGTGATTGTTCATGTCAAAGTTCTTACTAGAATAAGCCAGAACCATAATGAATTCCAACATTTCAATACTGTGCTTTTTTGATAATCAAATGCTACATTTCATAGGTTCAGTTCAATCTATATGCTTACTGTATATAATAACATAATAAACTGATTTTATCCAACTTCGGTTTTAAGATCTAACCCATTGGAACGGATGAGCCGTGTATAAACTCTATGAGGATGATAGAAGTTTGGAAGCAACCAGTTTAATACCACATTTCCTAAATACAGCTATTCTACATAGATTTGATTTCTCATTGTAAATCAATTTACCAGTACCACTTTGCACAACATCCCTAGAGAAGAATGGTCATGTAGGCTTATGATAAGGCAGACGTACATGTACCTTTACATATTTATGTGATGAACGTTTTTAATATCAAACAAACAACAAAGAATTTTTTTTTAAATCATTAATTGTCATTGTATCACTCTTCTCATGACAGCATTTACCACTGATAAAGATAAAGTTTACATGTACAGCAATCAAAAGAAATGAGTATTCCAAGAGAGTGTATATGTATACCACAATATCATCTGCATATCATCATTTTGAAATGTAACCACCTTTCATGACTTGAGTCAAAAGACATACTGTATATGGTGTTACAAAATATCTCACATCTTCTATTAGCTGTCACTTTATCATTTTTCTCAAGACAGTATTTTATCATTGATACAGTTTACATGAACAGTATTAAAAAAGAGGCTTGCAATATTACAAAAGAGTTTAATGTAACATCATATGTAAACCACAATTATCTTCTGCATATTAACTTTTTGAAATGTAAGCATTTTCTCTGTCATGACAAAAATCAAAGGACATACTGTATATGGTGTTACAAAATATCTGATATGTCTATATACAGTCGTAAATTGTTTTTAATAATACACTGTGGAAGATGACAATATCACTATCTATTTACTAAAAATTATGAATTGAACTCAAAGCAGTTTAAAATTTTCTTATTTTCTACGTTTTCCCTGCTCAAATTGGCAACAATTAATCTTTTATTCCACTCCTTCACTTTTAAGAAAAAATTCTATTAAATGAACAAATATGAAAGAAAATTGTGAAATTTAACCAGAAAAAATTGCCACCTAAATTTGTACATGAAAATAGTGATTATATATTTTACAGCATGTTGCCAATCTATAGACTTCAAGAAAGTCAATTCTTTATTTATAAACAAAGTAAAATAAGAAATATCAAGCAACACTAGTTATCCTTAATAGAAATTATTCCATTTCATCGAGAAAAAAAAAGTTTAAGTATTTATTAGTTACAGTGAATAAAAAGGGGGAAAGAATACAACAGAATCAATCATGCAAACCCGACCTCAAATAAAGAAATGACTAACGAAACAATTGCACCAAGATGTGAAAGAAAGCCCTTTCCAATATTCTACTTTATAATAAACAAATTATACGATAAGATAAAAAATTAAAAACAATTCATGCAAACCTTTGATACAAGTAAATTCATACATTCCGCATACACATCTTCATATATATTAACATGTCTTAATTGAAACTGAACAAAACAGTGTGAGAGGAGGCTATTGACAGAAAAAAACAATGTGAAGGAGAGAGCATGTATGGAGGGGAGAGAGAAAGAGAGAGGAGAGACAGTGAGAGAGACAGAGAGAGAGAGAGAGAGAGAAGGGGGAATAGAGCGAGACGGGCAGAGATAGTTGGATAGGAATGAGAGGGGGTAATATAAAGTATGATGGTGAAGAAAACGATAACAACAAATCAATATTATCTCTTAAGATCTGCCCACCATTTTCAAAAATATTTTAAATCCCAAGATGAATTATTTCTCTTCATCTTCCATTATAAACTCAGCAATGAAGTCTAACAGTGATGACATGAAAAAAAGAAGGAAAAGAAAAAACGGAGGTTTCAAACCCCATATTTGACTCTTGGAAGTTATTTTTTGATCAATGTTAGTTAACCTAGTTGTACAAATGGGGAAGAATCCCATTCCTAAAAGCTTGATCAATGCTCAATCTTTGACCAATATCAGTCTTTACAATAAAATAAACAAATATAAAACATCCTAACTTCAATACAACCACAAACTTTGCCTTTCACACACCACCTACCATAAATTTTGCTCAGTGCAGAAGATTTTTTTGTTTGTGTGTGCTACATGTATATGGTGGTATTAACTAAACATTTACTAGATCCATCAGGCACTGAATTTTGGAATGCTTTCTTTAATTATCATCCTCCACAACTTTCTGCATGAACTGATCCTAGTTGTATTGTTGTTGTCCATACTAAAGGCTTGATTGGCTCAGTGGTAGAGCAGTGGTCTTATAACCGGGATGTTACGGTTTGAAACCAAGTCAAAGTGCTAGTGCCCTTCAATAAGGTGCTAGTGCCCTTCAATGAGATGCTAGTGCCCTTTCATAAGGCCTTAATCATCATTACCAAGTCCCTTGGATATGGCTTAAAGCCTTCAGTCCTCTTAGTTGCTTTAATACCGATAATCATACAAATGACTGCAGTCAGATAAAAGAACAAACTAACCTGATTTTAATAATTCAATACTAAATAGCTCTATGTTTACATAAAAACATATATTCTACCAGCTCACATCAAATCTCTTGCATAGAGATCATCATATTGCAATTTTTATCACAATTTTTTTTTTTTAACTTTCATCTAATAAAATGTAACAAACAGATCAAATCTTTCTCTTATGTCATATTGACATATACCTTAAAACAAATCCATTTGATAGAAAATATTGATAACTCTATCCTAATTGAATTAATTATTATCCTACACATACATGTATTTCATTAAACACATTTTTAAACAGTATAAAAAGGCCCTACTGAATTCAGATATTGTACAAAACAGATTTACAATTTAGGCTCGCTCAGATATGATGTAGTAAATGAAAGCTGCCATTTTTGTGTGGAAATGTACATGAACATGAACGTCAACTGTGAAGCGTAAAATACTTATGTCATCAATTTTTTTTAAAGGCTGCTATAAACTGCATCATATCTAAACAAGGTTTTAAGAATCAAAGCAAAAATGAAGAATACATCATCTATAAAAAATTTCAAGGATCGTCTGAAATCATGCTTGCTATACATGTAGGTCTAAAAAAAATATCCAAATAAATAATTTCACAAACAAACCAGGATTTCATGCATTCAGGTTTAAATCACTAGTATCTGCAGCACACAATGGTTTCAACACAATGAATACTACGCTTAAAATAACTTGGGCTGAAGCTTAGATCTTTATAATCCCACTGTGCCACGCTGTATCACCAAGAGCTTCAAGATTATCTAACTGGTTCCAGTGCCAGATTAATCTATATAAAAGGGTTGTCATGGAGCTAATCAAGACTGGAAAAGAGTAATTTTGCAAAACCATTGTGTTGCCAGCAACCTTTCTGTCAATTGCTGCCTATTGTTTAGGGAAAAATTCATGCGTGGCAACAAACGACTGTGCAGAAAGCCAAATACAACGGTGGAATTGTTAAGGGAAATTAATTTATCGCAAAATCAAATAAATCAAGCTGTACCCCATAAATTACAAGTCAATTTCATATCATACACATTTCATCATTTCTACACTCTCCTACAAAGCTATCTGCAGGGCAAGATTGAAAAAAAGTGTCAAAAGTCGGGTCAGCAGAAAGAGATTATTAAATCATTCATTATTCAAAGAGGATTAAAACCAGAAAAGTGTCAACTCTGTGTTTAATACAATATGAGAAAATGCCCTTCTGGCTCCAAATAGACAAAATCCCCCTTTGCTTTAATACTTTTTTTTTTAAATCTTAAAGGGATCGTTTAACAATGTTAAATCTGAGATACACGGTCCTACATGTTACCAGTGTCTGTGATATGGTGTAATATGGAAGCCCTAAAAAAATTACGCTTCAAAATGATCAAGAAGTGCCTCAAAAAAGTAAAAATCTGAATGACCGGTTTTACCATACTCGTTTTCCCCAATAGACTGTAGTGTTATGAAAACCGTTTGGTGAACGGTTTTCAAAATTTGTAATTCCAATCATTAATATCTTGATAATCAGACAGGCGATCGGCTTGTAAAATTCACGGAGTTCCTGACTGACCTAAAGGTTTATAATTATCATTGCAGCATGAGCTAAATCAAGGATTATTTCTAAAGGATCAGAGTACACAGAATAAATGATTGCCTGTACTTGACAAAAATGGTAATGATACGTATACCATGAATTTGGCAAATCAGAACTACTGTAAGGTATATCATCTAGCAATGATGCTTATAGCTACAATATGATTAATTCAAACATTAAACTCAACTCATTGAAAGCAATGACTCTAATGCAAACTCTACACAAAATCGAAAAAGATAAAAATAGAAAGAGTGAAAAATAAAAGTTGTTTTTCCCAGATGCAGAAAGTGCATTACATTGGTGTCAATCAGGTGGTCTAATACATGAATTCTATTGAGGACTATAAAACCTAAAACATGTGTGAAAAGTGCTACAGTTAGGCAGACATTGTGAGGCAGCCATTGTGCAAGTGGCATAATCTACAGGCAAAAAGGCCCCCGTTGCTTGCATATATAGAGAAACAGTGCGTTGCAGAGTATCCTGCATAGCTGAGAAAGCCATGCCGGCCAGTGCAAGAGTGCGTTTCAATATGGTTGGGGACTGTTAAATAATAAATAATACGACAGTTTACACATTTTTACAGTTCAGGACTAGTTTGTGAGCATTAAGTATCGTCAGTGATGTGCATAAAACAGGGTCTATACAGTTAAGATTATAGAATGCATCAAATTGGCCATGGCATGGCACACACCCTAAAACTTAAGTGTTGGGCTAGATTCATGGCTTTATGAAGAAGAAAAAAAAGACCTATAAAGCGTTAAAAGGAGTCTGCATCTGCAGACTACTAAAGAACTGCTTTTAACTGCGTATTTTAATGCATACTAAAGTGATGATCCTGCTCTATCAAGCTGCTTATCTTTAAAAAAAAGACAAAAGTCGGGATAAAGCATGCAGGACTTAGTATCTCACTTCCTTTGAATTGTTGTAAAATTACACTTTTCATTACAGTGTACAGACTTAATCCTTTTTTTGTAACAATGGAGCTATAAAGAGATTAGTGAAAATCCTTTCATTTACAGGGCTCTTTATCTCGGTGTGATTAGTCGCAAATCAGATTTCAGATGTTAACAGCAAGCATGCAGAGTTAGTACTGACCATCATCACACAACCCTGAACCCACTACCCTTATTCACAAAAGCAGACTAAATCAATCCCGGTTTAAAGGGGAAATCTACCCTGATATTAAGTTGGTTTTAATAAAAGCTGAAAAATGAGATAATGAGCCAATTTGTGTTTGATTGATGACACCTTCAAAAATTCATAAATATCTTATTCTTAACCGGTTGTGTCTCAAACTTTTCTTTCAATTTTTTTGCTTCTAATTAGACCAACTTAATATCAGAGTGGACTTTCCTTTTAACTTGATGACTACTGAATTCTATCAGTTCCATAGGCTTAATGCAGGAACCAACCAGCTCCCACAGGCAAAGGGTTAACCTTGTCTACCGATTTACGGAATGCCAAGTGTCACCCCTTTATTCTGCCTAAATTACTGGAGTACTGTTATAAACTGAAAAACTAAAATGAATTTAGTCATGAAATGGAAATAAATAATGAAATTCATTAAATTCCTTTTAATCTATAATTTAGTTACAGATTTATGGTCATTTTGTAATACCGGACCAAGAGCTGACACTTGGCAATTCTTAAATTGATGAAAAAACATCTCTTGTAACTTAGTCTGGGTTTAAACCTGGATTAAAGTTAGTATGCTTGTATGAACAGGGCCTAAGGCTTTAACTGTAATACATCCGTGCATTGCATTTCAATCAGGGATGGCACGGGACAACACAAAATCACCTGACGAGTGAAATCCAGTGACATTGTCTTGGTGCCTTGCTTGACTTAAACCTTGGTGGCTCCTAGATGCTGAGAGTGCATGATCAATACCTGCAATAACAACCAGTGTGCTTCATATATTGCATCAGATCATCGGTATGGATTAAGATCATGTACATTGCGGCTCAGAACAAAGAGATTTACATCATTTGGAGTAAATTTATACTATGGTATATCAAATGTACATACATGTTTTATAATTCTATCGTTGGAAGCAACTTTGGAACACAAAAATGATGCTTAAGCAGGAATGCATTCTGTTTCACCAAAAGAGCTCATGATTCTCTCAAGACAGAAAAGGACAACATCATGAATAACCTGTATCTAATGATATGAAATCCCATGCCGTATGAATAGAGAAGGTGATTAACCGGTTGACTGCTGAATTCTAATATTCCTCATAGGATTAATACAAGAACCACCAGGGTCCAGTAGGCAATGGGTTGAAGTGAAATGCAATAAGGATAAAATATACCCTTTCTTCTTGAGTGGCTTGGAGTAAAAATGTTTTGTGCTTTCAGAATAATACCCACATCTATGTTTTACCATTCATGTAGTTCCATTACAGAAATATTGTATGAAACTTTTAGGCCTCATCTCATTTCAAGTATAAATGATTTGTAACACAAAATTGCAGTGCATGAAGCTAATATCATATCTTTAATACTTTAAAGACTTGTGATTAGATTTAAACATATACATAGTTGAAATTAATACCAAAGAATAATTTATTATAAAAATCTGATTCAAACAATCTAGTCTATTAAAGGAATGTCTTCATTAAATCTAAAAAAATCATCTAATAGAAATAACACTATAGAGTGATACCTAAAATAAACAATATAGGAAAATGCGAGCTGATTTATACATTCAGTCAAAACTAAATATAGAAAAGTAATACATGCAACAGAGTACTGATAATGTGGAAATGTTATGCCTACATGGGTAAGATATTTTCATCTCTCTCTTCCTCCTCATCTAGCCCAAGTTGGTCGTCTCCTAGCCCTTTGTAACTCTTCGAGTGTTGCTTCTTGTTACATCGACAAACAAAATCACAGCCATCCTGTAGAGCAAACAACAAAAACAAACAATGTGTTAGGATTTTTTTTTTCTCCAAAAAATTCATAATTTCTTTGCTACGTTTTTTAATCTTTTGATTTTCTATGAATAGTTTGTTTTCAAGACATATTGTAAAACAGCCTCTGAGGAACTAATGCTTTAACAAGCTCTGCTTCTAGTTAGTTCCTCTTTTCTTGTGCTTTTTTTTGTTTCATTTTATACTTTTTTGCAATATACTTAACTTAATCATTGTATTATGTTTGCACGAGAAATAAAATCATTTGAATTGAATTCAATTGATTTGCATCTCATACAGGCATGTGGTACTCTGATTTTGGCAGAGTGCGGGAAGGAAAAAATGCTGTTTGATATTTAAACACATTAATTAACTAAAGCATAAATATTGTAAGAAATACATGTATAAATCATCAGTCTTAATTTCTTCTATATTTCTTCATACATTTATTAACTTTTAAACATAATTTGTTGGTCAAATATCTTTTATAAATCTTCTTCCATTTTCTGCATCCTTGCACTACACTTAGTGGATGAGTCATATTTTAAACTGCCAGGCATTCATCCATGTGTATCTTGGTTTACCGGGTATATTGTATTATCTTCTTTATTTCTAGTCTCATGTTATTTACTTTAAAGAATCTTGCTTCTTTTAAAATGACAACTTAAACACCTTTTTTTTTTTGAAAGAGAGGACACCAATGATAATTGATTAAAATATGATATATACATCGTACAAGTAATAGCAATATTTTCTGTCATACATGTATAACCAAAGCTCAGTAGTTCCTTTAAGCTGAAATAAATTATGAGTAGTCTACTTCGTAGAAATGTCAAAATGCATTAAAGGTCTTGGAAGAAAAGGGAATATTTCCCCAAAATGGAAATGTACGATATCATTAAATATCAAGCAATCATTTGAATTATCTGTTTCAAATCGCTGGCGCTACAGCCCTTCCAAACACTCCTTGATAATAATAAACAGAACACCTAGAGATTACACTCTACAACCAAATTTTGTTTAACTTCATGGGCTAGAAAGATGTATCCTTACTGGATAATCTCCAAGTTTGGAATTGCTTAGAGACTTAATTGTAATTCATGCTATATAAAAGCTGAGTCAGGCCTTAAATTAATCGACGGCCATCGACGGCCAGGCCGTCGATGCCCCTATGACTGGCCGCGGTGCCCTCCCAAAAAAAGATATATTCACGGCCAAAAAGGCCGTGCCCTTTTTTTCAAACTGGCCGACGTGCCTTTTTTTCCAACTGGACGTGCCCTTTTCATTTTAAATTTGCGCACATAAAACCACCAATTGCGCCCATAATCATCTAAAACTAGACGGCAAGGCGCAAGTGTTTTCCGTGAAAATGCGCCCATAAATTATTAGAACAGTAAAAATACACGAATCACAAACAGTTTGCCGCCCACGAGCTCTCTTCTAGCTTCGTATTTAGTGCTTTAATAAGGCGCAAGTACCGTGAAAATGCGCCCTTTGTTATTATATAGGCAATGGGCTAGCGCACGTACGTACGTACGTTCATATTATGCGATCGCATGATATGCATATGGTGCATGCTGTTGACGCACGCACGTACGTACAAATCGAAGGCCAGGATCAAGAAACAAATCGTCAAATGGAGAAATAAACAAGCATTCAAATAGTCATTAGAGATCTGTCGAGGTTTGTTTGTAGGCCTAGTTTATTATTTTATCTCAAATAAAATTTAGAATTATCTTATTAATAAGTTAAGAACACCTACGATGTTCTCGATCGTAGTTACTCTCATTTTGCCACCAGCCGACCTCGCTTCAAAAAGCTACCCCGCCAGCTTCCCAAGACGAACGTTTCGAGTCCCGGTAAAATTCCGAGGGTGCATCGGTTTCGCTGGCAATCTTCCAGCCCGACAGCTTCCCACCAAAAGTGGCGAGAGTGTGTGTGCGAGGAACGATTTTGGTTTCGTGAATGCACGTTACGCAACTGAGCTGAGCGTGTCACTTTCAGCTGTCGAATGTCTATAAGGACATTTTTACATCTTATTTCATTAGTTAGATCTAGGCCTAGATCTATGTAGACCTTTCTATACAACAGTTAAAAAGATAATTTCTTCAAATTTGCTCCTACTACCGAGAGAGTGGCGGAAGGTTTGTGTGTGAGGTGCGATTTTGATTTGGAATACACGGCCCGGTAAACTTGCCAATTAAGTCCTTCTGACTTTCGATGTTTGTGAAATTGACAATTTATTTATTCATTTGCTCATCAATATTTTTAGTTACTTTAAAATACTGTTTAATGTGCAAGTTTGATGTTCTTAATCAATCTTTCCTGTTCATATTGTTAAGATTAAAAAGTTATTAAAATGATCATTCGATCTATTCACATTATGAAATTAACATTTGTAGACTCTCTTTGAACTTATGATTAGATAAGCAACCTATCTGTTTTTGGAAAATTGCCCCTTGCTCTGGTAAATTCCCGTGGCTAAGGGCAACTTAAAAAAAAAATTGCCCCTTGCTCCTGGCTGCTAAATCTAAGGCTTGCGGGCCGCCGCCTTGTTTGCAGGTGCGTAGCCAGAGTTTGGTGTTTGGGGGGGGGGGGGGGGGCACATACATGTAATCGATCGAGGTCAAAAAAAGGGGTCTACAAAATTTCAACCGATCCTGGAAATTTTAGGGGGGGGCACGTGCCCCCCGTGCCCCCCCCCCCCCCCCCCCCCCCCCCCCCCCCCCCCCCCGTGGCTACGCGCCTGCTTGTTTGTATGTACCGTAGACCTCTATACATTCTGTGAAGAAGCTGGTGCTAAAAGTCATGGGAAATTGATCCTGCACAAGTTTCATAAAATACACATGACATCTAACAAAAATAGAATCAATTTTTTTGGCCTCATACTCGATGCCCTTTTTGTAAAATATTTTGGCCTCGATGCCCTTTTTGTAAAAATATTTTGGCCTTGGTGCCCTTAAAAATATGAGGTACTCGAGGCCAAACTGGCCTTGCCCTAAAAATGACGAAATTTAAGGCCTGCTGAGTATTATTATTATCCTATGCCATGATCCTCTGATACTTACTGCTGTCAAGTTACCAAAGTTCGTCCAGAAATCTATGTGTGGAAACTGCTCTCTTCCTTTGGCTCTCAAGAAAAACCTCTTATATGCAACCCCTAGGATAAGGTAAGCTGCAGCTATTGTTAAAACTCTGGAATAAGAAAATAGAAGGGGCAAAAAAGGAAGATATGGATAAAAGGTGACCCACACTGAACCTCCATCTTAAAAAAGACAATCTCGCCCAGAGATGTCCAACACTGCAACTTTGAGGATGTATCATTTTTATTTTTATTTTCACAATCATCAAAAATGAGATTGCCTGAAAATTTGGGGGAAATTTAAAGCTACTTTCTCTTGTGGGGGTTTATCAAATGATCTAAGAAAGTTGCATGAGGCAGAATCCTGTTTCAAACAAAATTATTAAACCATGTTGCCTGAAATTACAAAATACCAATCACTTGGTAAATGATTGCCACCAGATACAATTTTCCTAAATTTTGGAATACTGGTAGATAAAAATGCATCTCAACATTAGCAGATAAATTTTGCATGTGTTCAGCAGAACCTGATGTCAACCAGCCCTGTGTACAGCGCTCAAAATACAAGGGAGCGGTGGGCGATTCGCCCCCGTGAGCTACAAAATCGCCCCCGTCAGGTTGCTCACGGGGGCGATTGCAAAATTAAAAATCGCCCCGGTGGAATTATAAAATAAAGATAATCTTTTCTGTTATAACTTTAACACAATATTGAGTTTCAATTTTCAAACCTTAAACCAATGAAATGGAACTAAGATTAGCGTGCAAGGTTTCTCGTTTTATGAGTAGGCCTATTATTACCGATTCAGCTCGCAGTGCAGTGCCGCCGTCAGCAGTAGTTATAGACCTACTGCGCCGTTAGTAGCGGTGCGTGTGCACGCTGCCGCACCATGTCTGCTGGAGCTGGAGGCGATCGGGCAAGGGCAGAAACATGGCCTGGAGAAGTTTTTCGTTGTCAGCAAATAATGAACCTCGACCAATAAATCAATATTAGGGACTTTTAGATTTGCACGATGAGAACGTGGACTGCAACGTGTGACCTCATTTTAAGGCACTGCCAGTGCTTAAAAGGACGTCACATGTGATTGCCAGTGCCTTAAAAGGACGTAACACGTCCACGTCCACGTCCACGCAAATCTAAAAGTCCCTTTTGAGGAGAAGAGGAAGACCAAAATGTCGTGGAATGATATGGTAACATGGGCAGATCTACGGGGGGGGGGGGGGGGGGGGGGGGGGGGGGGGGGGGGGGGGGGGGGTAGGGGGTTTAACCCCCTCCTCCCACCCCCGGTCCCCTTGGGCTGCCAAGTGAAAATGTGATATTAAAGCGGGGGGAGGGGGATTCTGGAGAGGAGGACTACTAATCTATTTTATTTTTTTCAGGGGGCGGGGGGAAGTGAAGCGCCGTTTTAGCATGACTTTCTTTTTAACTCTTACTTTCACCTATCTCAGATAACCCTAAGTTTTTGGTTGCTGCTTATATGTAGTTGATAATGCATGATTAAAATAAAGAGAGAGAGAGAGAGAGAGATAACCACCATCATTTTGCTATGGTTCAGGGTTCGTGTAATGTACATTTAAAACCATTTCTTAGCGTCTCAACCCTAAAAAAAAAAAGCAAAAATATTTTTGAGGAAAAGCATTATACTGAATTAAATAAAGAATAATAGCTTTATATTGGATCATACTAATACTGATACGGGCTAAAGACAATGTGGTATTTGTATAGATGTATTCCAAAATGACATTCTGATAATCAACATTTGTTCTGGTATCATATGTACAGTATATACGCATAATACAACTGATCTTTATGATTTCTTAACGTGACATAGCTTCTTCTCCCTCTGCAAACAAAACAGAAAACAAGGTTATTTAATAAAAAGGACCATGCGACAAATAATCATTGTGATTCAAATTGATGCAAGGATTTTTTTGAATAAGCAATGCTTTTCACCAGAATCTTCTTTGTAAAAACGACTTTTACAAATCCAGGGGTGATAGTGAGCACTAAAAAAAAAATAGGTTTTTTGTTTTCCCCTCAACCACGCCCCCCTTGAGTAAAAAAAAAAAAAGGCGATTCGCGGGGAAAAAAACGGCATCTAACAACATTCCCCCCTTTCGAGTAAGAAAATTGGGAGAAAAAAATAGGGCAAAATAAGGAAGAATAGAGAAAATAAGGGGGGAATCAGGAAAATCAGTATAAAAAAGGGAAGAAAAAAAAATCTGGTAATTTTTTTTTTTTTTTTTTTTTTTTTTTTTTTTTTTTTTTTAAATCGGGAGAAAAAAAAAAATCGGGAAAAAATCGGGAAAAATCAAAAAAAATCGGGAAACCGATTTAAATCGGGTTTTTATCAGGCCTGCAAATCTCAGCCATGCAATTCTGCCACTGTGCTGTAAGATCACTTTGAGATTAGGAGAAGTGTATTATGTAATGGGTATTTTAAATTGAATGGAACGTCTCAACTTAGTAAGCATGGCTGAGATTTGTAAAAGTTGTTTTCACAAAGAAGATTCGGATGAATAGCAGTGCTTATTCAAACAAATATTCACATCAATTTGAATCACAATCATTATTTGTCGCTTAATCCCTTTTAATGACCATGTTTTCTTTTTCGTTTGCAAGGGGAGAAGAAGGAATCCCGGACAACTCGCCACAAAGACAACCCGCCCCAAGACAACCCGCCACAATACCCTGGACATCCCGCCACAATACCCTGGACAACCCGCCACAATACCCTGGACAACTCGCCACAGCCTTTTCGGACAACTCGCCACACTTTTTTCCCCTCATGATTTCTAGATCTAAAATCCCTCATCTTAGATGAAATTGTCATTTTTCATGATTTTCGTGCTTTTATAAACACAGTTATGACAGGAAACATGGAAATTGTGAGTATTTTGAGAGCTGTTCTAAAGAATAAAGATGATTTTCCTTGCGCTTGCAACAAGAATCTATTTTGGACGAACCCAAGCCAGGCGTACTACGACTACGAGTTACGACTACGATTTTTAAGTTCATGTCTCAGGAAACTTTTTATTGGTAGGAATATGCTGCTATGTATCTTTGGCGTATCTTTACATTCCCATGTTACCTGCCCCCCCCCCCCCCCCCCCCCCATCAGTACGCCAGTGCTTCCAGTATCCTACCATAAAAAAATTCTGGGACAGAAAAATGCAGCTGTTATAGACCTCTAGATCAAAAGTATATTCTTGTTACAAGGGAAATCAACTTTATTCTTTTTAATGACTGTTTATAAAAGCACGAAAATCATGAAAAATGACAATTTCATTTCAATATATATTATTGTTACAATTAGGGAAATCAACTTTATTCTTTATTCTTTGTAATGACTGTGTTTATAAAAGCACGAAAATCATGAAAAATGACAATTTCATTTCATTTTAGATCTAGAAATCATGATGGGAAAAAGTGTGGCGAGTTGTCCGAAAAGGCTGTGGCGAGTTGTCCAGGGTATTGTGGCGGGTTGTCCAGGGTATTGTGGCGGGATGTCCAGGGTATTGTGGCGGGTTGTCTTGGGGCGGGTTGTCTTTGTGGCGAGTTGTCTGGACCCCAGAAGAAGATATGTCACGTTAAAGACATCATAAAGATCAGTGTTGTATGCGTATATATTATATACACAGGCCAGTAACAGCTATGTAGCTTGTAAATTTGTAAGAGGGAAAATGCTGATTGAAATGATAATGATGAAATAGCAAATAATTGAGGAGTATCATAGGTACCAATTCAATGGATATTTGTATAAAAAAGAGCCCCCGTCAGTAATAAAAGAGCCCCCGTGAGAAGGCTCACGGGGGCTCTTTTTTCGGGGGAAGAGCCCCCGTGGACAAAAAATTAATTTGAGCCCTGCCTGTGTATCATATATTCTAAGTAACATCACACGCATAGATATCTGGCACTTCTAGCTTAAAGATAAGTTGAGTTGTGGTCATGCGATTGCATTGTGAAAGGTATGTTGTGGAATCGATCAGAACAGGTTGATCATCTAGCGTATTGGTGTGTACTGCAAGGTTCTGGAATCATCAAAATAAGAAATTTGGCCCAGTCTTGGTAAAGTAGCAAGCACTGTACACAGAAGGCTATATATGGGACAACACACATGGTGTCGGGGCTAGTACTACCTTGATTTCCTTGTCTTTCTATGCTAATTACTCAGCCAGTATACATTTTCTTCCAAAATTGTTTGGCACATGTCATTTATTTGTAATCTTGAACATTCAGTGTAAGTTTTGTTTGATTCTGTAAGAATTAATTTTCTTTTTTTTTTACCAGAACTGGATTTTATCTTTAAGGTTGATTTGGGGGGATTAAAAATGTACACTTACGTAATGACGATAATTCCACCAACACCGATTCCTGATGATGATGAAGGCGCTGATGTTGAATTAGAGCAAGCCACTGAACTTCCTACTTCAAAAACATAGGCACATTCTTTATCCCTGAAATTATTTTCTTCAACCAAAACTGGATTTACCTGGACAGGAAGAAAAAAAAGAGTAAAAATGATGAAATGTGCAGTGACGATTAATGCCATACCAAGACTGAAAATAAAGACTGAACTGAGAGACCGTGGGACGACCCCGTTTTTCTTTCAGTTTGGTTTTCATCCTAAAAAGACTAAACCAATTTGATCTTAAAAGATATGTTTTTTATTACAATTACAGAGTCACATGTTCCATTTTGCAAAACTTGCACATTAGTAATTAATTATAAACTGAAGTGAACAAATGCTCAATATGTATAATTATGCTTGTATACTTTAGGAACCCTAAGGCTATATAAAAAGTGCTCCAGTTCACAAGACCGACAGCCAATAGTCGGTCTTGTATGCCATTAGTCTCATGGACATTTCCAAACTTTCTTTTTGTCTATATTTTCTTATGAAACCGACAGTCGATCACGAGATTGACAGTATTGCTTTCTCAGGCCTGCTGACCTTTTTTTGTATTTCTTTGTCTTGTCACTCTCATAGGCTTTGGGTCTTGTATGCCATTAGTCTCATGGAAATTTCCAAACTTTCTTATTGTCTATATTTTTTAAAGAATTTCTTCATTAAGTGGGGTCTTGTGGGCTGTCTGTCTAGTGAATCTGTCGTTTTTGGGGATGACCCACTTTTATAGTACTATTTAACATTTTGACATGGTCATGACAGACTTGAATTGCAAGCAGCCTGCACTACTTGTAGCTACTTGCGTCCTCTATATAGCCAACAATGCCTAAGCGGTACCCGTTGATTGAGAGCTAATTTGGTGAGATTACCACCTGCCAGTGACTACGCAGGGAGGTTTGATCCCCCCTGGCCAAGCTAGTGCAGATTTATTAGAGACAAACATTTACTGCTAAATGCTTTAGTCCACACCAAATGATTAAGTTTTCAGATCCATCTAAGGAGCTAGGGAACTCTGAAGTATTGCAATTGGGGGGGGGGGGTATGTCCATTACTAGATTACTTACAAGAAGTCCACTTGGGTCACACATAATAAAGATGGTTGCTCTCCTTGCTTCTCCATTACAATTGTGGTTATACAAATCTCCATCTCGGTATTCAAGAAAGATCCAGTTAGCTAAAGGAACGAACAAATAGAAATATTAGATTATTTAGGCCAATGCCTGGTGCCATAACAATTTTTTTTCTCGTAACAGTTGGCAGCTATGACATTACCGTAAAGGGCATCTGCCTATGAAGAATGCTTTCCATGACTCCCTTGAGTGGTACTTATATTCAGGTTTCTTGCTGTACTATTAGCATCAGTTTCTAAATTTCTTTGATTCTTGGATGTCTGAAAGAATCACACATTCCACAAGTTACTTACTTCCAGCCATGATGTTAGTGGCAGTTGTTCTCCCTACAGCATGAAGAGCTACTTTAGCCAACGTATACTGCTCAACTCCTACATCTACATCGTCTGTGCCCAGACCTCCGATACCCTCACAGAAGCCAACCTTATAAGTGTAGTTTTTTGCAGTATCTGTGACTTCCACTCTGTCAGCAAAAGAAAGAAATAGTGACATTGTGATTAAAGGCATCGTTTAACAATGTTAAATCTGAGATGCATGGCCCTACATGTTATCAGTGTCTTTGATATGGTGTAATATTGGAGCCCTATAATAAATTGCACTTCAAAATGATCATGAAGTGCCTCAAAAAAGTTTTAAAAAATCTTTGAGTGACCAGTTTTACCATACTCGTCTTCCCTCATAGACTGTAGTGTAATGAAAACCGTTAAAAATTCAAAATTAGATTTTGATTTTCAATCATAAATATCGTGATAATCAGACAAGCCGACAGGCGATCGGCTTGTAAAAGTCATGGTGTTCCTGACTGACCTAAGGGTTTATAATTATCATTGCAGCATGAGCTAAATCCAGGATTTTGTTGCAAAATCTGAAACAAAGTTACCCAATCCCTTTAAGTGTAAGACCCACTCACACCTGTACACAATTATCTTGATAAAGTTGTATTCCCACATAGTTGTTGGTTTGATGTTTTTTTTTACCTGACTGCTAAAAACAAAGCATACAACAATGTACCATGGCATGCTTTCCCATATCCAATTGAATCCTAGATTGTATTGGATAAAATTACCGGGGTACAAACAGCTTATAAGTCCTTGCCATGGGAAATTTAATGAAGGTTAATGCTTTATCAAAGAGCACTAGCTACATGTAGGGCATCAACTTGGTTTCAAACCTGGGGGCCGTTTCTCGAAACCGTCATAACTACAAGATCAACGGCATCTCGCCACTGTCGCGCAACTTGTCAGCTAAGTGTTTCACGAAGCCGTCTTCGCCAAGATGAGCGACAACTTCCGCGACAAGCGAGTTGTCACTGATCCGAACCTGTCATATCTTTTTAATTGCTGTAAAGCGCCATCACAAGTCAGTTTGTTGCCATTCCATGGGCCGCGAAATGGACGATTAGTTTCCCTATCATTTTGAGAAAGATATAGACGAGTTCGGTACGTAATTATACAAATTATACAGAAACTTTAAAAAGCTGAATATAAACATTAAATCACAAATCATTAAACTATAACATATAAATAAGAGAGGTAAGAATGTTACACACCGTTTTCCATAGTCGATCCATAGTCTTTTCTTAGGATACCGTCATACCTTTGGGGCCTTTGTGCATTATTATTTCCTCTCTAATTACTTCTTCCAAATTATATTTTTAATATCAAATCAATTATATAACAAGTATTTATGAGACTCTAGAATAAAAACTGGCTGAGAAAAGACATTTTGCCTAAAAGGACGTATTGATAAACTATCACATTACGGTATCCTTCAACTAACTTTTGATTCGACTGTCAAAAAAAAAAACACTCACCGGGTTTTCTTCAATTAAGAATCTTTACAGAAATATGCAAATCGTTTGATGATGTAAATTTGATAATTACACTATTTATTATTTATTTTAGGAGAATTTATATGTATTTATTTCTTTTTGAACAATTTTAGCCCCAAAACTAGTTTTGGGTTATTCTTCATAAATCAAATGAATCGTGACAAAGACTATCTTCTTGAGCTGCTAGTATCGCGATATATCGATATCATGTCTGTCATGGCTTTGTGAAACGGTTTATCCACTTCATGACATCTCCGTAGGTCGGCGACAAAGATATGACTGTCATGGAGTTGGTTTCGAGAAACGGCCCCCTGGGTCCTTCTGGGACCACTGAGCCATCTCGCCTAGATACTTTACTTGTGAGGTTTTTTGTGTGGATTATCCTGGATTGGTCCAAGGTAGATCACCGATGAGATACTACTTAATTTTCAGTACGGTAGGCTAACATCAAATTTGTAGCCCAGGATAGTTGGAAAATCCTGGATAAGGTCATGTAGAACCATGCTTACATTGATCTCGGCAGACAGCACATTTTCTACATAGTCGATCCCACACTGCGTATGGCTTGTTTCCTTAAAGCTCATCAGTACTAGTGTAAAGGAGGGATTAGACTACACTGCAAGGTCATTGTACAGGTGGTTTTTTCATCAACTCAGCTCCCAAATAACACAAGAAAAAGAGGATCATGGGGGACCAATGGTCACCGATTAGACATTGTTTGTTATATACATGTAGAGGGCGCAAGTAGCTACAAGTAGTGCAGTGGGCCTTTAATGAAGGAAAAACTACCTTGATGTCACTCAAGGGGCATTAGTATATTTTTTGAGGAGCAAAATATGTTCAGATGACCTCTATTCTATTGTCTATATTGATTCTCAACATTTTTAAACAGTAAAAAACATGCCACATTATTCATATTCATTGGACTGGTTCACACAGTTATCCAGCTCCCAGGCCTAGGGGATTGTATTTGCAATGAGAAAAAAAGAAGGAAAAAATGAGAGACACACAAACACGTGAACTAGATTCCTAAATATTGAGTTGAAAATGATAAACAAAATTTAAATTTAAATTGGATTCCATTCGTTTCCAAAGAATTCAATTGCATTTGTCAGTCTAGACCTCTATTCAAAAGAATGTAAAGTCTAAAATAAACACTGACATTTTATAGGAACTGTTTTCACTTAATGAATTTCTATCAGCATTGTCAATTAAGCAGCTCCGACTCCCATTCAAATCACGAAACGACAGTCACTCACGATCACGTCACATATTGGTGTGGAAGGGAGAAACCCTACCCGATATTGAACGGATGGGACACTACGACTCACTCAGCAGCAATTTTAACCACTTACGTTTTTCCTTTTAACGGCTCAATCAGTTCAAGATACTTGTTTTCTGATGGCGACGCCACTGAACATTCTGACAAAGCAGACTGCACACAAGCAAAAATGTAAAATACAATGAGGAAATACGACATTTTGGATACCGGTAAATCCATATCCATAACCATTTTCTCCGTAGACTACTACTAGTTTAGATCACGTGCTAAAAACGTACGTATATAGGTCTACAACTAGTAGTCTTCTATTCCATCCTACTTTACACCCCGATACGCGATAAAGCGATAGGTCGCAAAAAGTTGCCCGTCTTAAATACGCGAATATGATTGGTCGAAAGTTTCTCAAAAGAAAAAGTCGCGTTAGCCTTTCGGAAGAAGGCGTTGTAGACGGGTTAATGATAATAGTTTATTGAATTTGTGAAGATAACAAAAATTGAAGATGTAAGCTTTCTAATTGTTTGTATGTCATTTTTTAGTAATATCCTGAAATAAAGCTTTCTTCAAGTACCCTCATAAATCAAAATATAACAAGAAACGGCTTAACAGTATGGACCCGAACTTTCACTGTCACATATCGGCCTATCTATCCAAGTGTGAAGTGCATCATGTGAATGTGGTATCAAGCAAGCATGAATTAGTTATTCTACATTTTTAAATCAAACGTTGTGATTTAATTCACACATAATTGTGTGTCTTGGAATAATTAACTTAAAATAAGTTGTCTTTTATGCTACATTAACATTTAATTTTCAGCCAAATATTCGAGTAGGCCTACAGCTATTTTGTAGAATATTCAACTTTTTTCCCTAAAGCTTTATGCTTGTCATCAAAATGTAAATTGATTTGTAACAATTATATACTTTAACTTCTTATCAATTTTCCTTTTATGGTAAGGTAAGGTCAACATATCGCAGCCAATGGCTAAATTGCATATTTGGTTTAAAAATATTTTAAAAAACATCATATTTACAATTCGTTATTTAACAATAATTCGACAAAAAAACTCAGTAAAACTCAGAAAGGGAAGAAAGAAATAAAGGGAAAATGTAAAGCAGGAAAATAAGGAGAACCGGATAGGAAAGTTGAGGGAGAGGAAGTGGAGAGAGAAGAGGAGAAGAGAAGGGAAAGTGTGTGTGTGTGTGTGTGTGCGCTCACCTCAGCATTTTTGTGGGGTTTTATGTGCGCTTCACATACCCCTTGTGAGGCATTTTTATTTTGTGGGGTATTTTTTCAGGACCCCACAGAGTAAAGTCTTTCAAATGACTGTATATTCGGTGTACTATGCCCTGCGGGGCATTAGAAGTGGTACCCCATAAATGACTTTTTGTGAGCGTGTGCTAAAACTTGCACACTTTTTTATGGTAACATCGTAAGCACACCGCCGGGTTGTTATCGCCAGGTTGTACATACCCCACTAGTAGGGGACCACAAGGTATATCTGGAACGCACAGAAATACCCCACAATCAGGTGCCCCACAAAGGCCCTGATGTGAGATGTGTGTGTGTGTGTGTGTGTGTGTGAGAGAGAGAGAGAGAGATAGAGAGAGAGAGAGAGAGGGGGGAGAGAGAGAGAGAGAGAGAGAGAGGGGAGAGAGAGAGGTGAAAGAGGAACAAAGAGAGAGAGAGACCATGACCATTTTTATATTGTAAATAGGATGCAATTTATCCATGGACTACTTCTTTGTATTTTAAAAAAACCGAATTGAATAGACCAGTTCACGGTTAGCACATTACTGCAATGACCCCGAATATCCACAGATCTTAAAAACATGAAGAGGTCCCACTGTGTATATTTTGAAATAATCACTCCTACAGCGATGGAGGTGCTATATAAATAGCCTTTGTTTCCCCTTTTCAAAGAATATTTCCACCTGTGTATCATGGAGTCCACTGAATGTGCATGAATGAATAATGTTACATAACTTTCATGAGCACGTATCCAGTATTTCGTCTCTGTGTATTTCAACATTTGTTCTGCAATGACCTTTATCTGCTCATGCTCAGACTGCAACCGTGAACTGGCTTTGAAGATGAATGGAATTTGGTCATTCCAAAACCTCACTGTATAAACTCATAAACAACTTTTCACGATTGCTTCCGCACAGTTTCTTTCAAAATGTTAAAATTGCTCAACCATAATTCAACTGTATCATTAGTACGCTACAGTGTTGTTGTTTTTTTTTTCTGGTGAAATTTATGTTTTCAGGGTCTTTAGAATGATTTCTGAAGTGAGGGGAGTATCGCCAAAAGTGATAATACTTTTTGGAAAAAGAGCAGGCGTATAAAATCTATTTTTAGGGGAAAGGTTCCCCGATGCGGCTAGGTATACAGAGAGCGGCTTAACAATTGCATGTATACAACAAATATATTTCTTGAGGGATACTCGAACCGTCAGGGTCCCTCGGTCTAAAGCCCGTCTGTACTAGTTTGGCCAGGGGGATTAGACCTCCCTGCAAGGTCACTAACAGGTGGTTCTCTCATCAAACTAGCTCTCAATTAACATAAGAAACTGGGGGACAATGGGGGACCAACAGGCACTGACTAGGCATTGTTTGCTATATAGAGGGAGCCAGTAGATACAGGTAGTGCCGAGGGGGTTTAAAAGCCTGAATGAGTATCTTGAAAAACTCACATAGGCCTATTGCTATCTATCATAACAAATCATTCCGACTCTGAACTGCGTTTTATTTAAAGCATATTATCATTACCCTCGACGCAACTCACAGATAGGCTTGTAATGAAACGGTTAGCTACTTGCAAGCAAAGTACGAACGAAAGGAAAGACTTTAGCTGACAGCCTTTCAGGGCTCAAATTAATTTTTTGTCCACGGGGGCTCTTCCCCCGAAAAAAGAGCCCCCGTGAGCCTTCTCACGGGGGCTCTTTTAGTACTGACGGGGCTCTTTTTATACAAATATCCATTGAATTGGTACCTATGATACTCCTCAATTATTTGCTATTTCATCATTATCATTTCAATCAGCATTTTCCCTCTTACAAATTTACAAGCTACATAGCTGTTACTATACGCATACAACACTGATCTTTATGATGTCTTTAACGTGACATATCTTCTTCTCCCCTTGCAAACGAGAAAGAAAACAAGGTCATTAAAAGGGATTAAGCGACAAAATAATGATTGTGATTCAAATTGATGTGAATATTTTGTTTGAATAAGCACTGCTATTCACCCGAATCTTCTTTGCAAAAACAACTTTTACAAATCTCAGCCATGCTTACTGAGTTGAGACGTTCCATTCAATGTAAAATACTCATTAAAGAATACACTTCTCCTAATCTGAAAGAGATCTTACAACACAGTGGCAGATTTGCATGGCTGAGATTTGTAAAAGTCGTTTTTACAAAAAAGATTCTGGTGAAAAGCATTGCTTATTCAAAAAAATCCTTGCATCAATTTGAATCACAATGAATATTTGTCGCATGATCCTTTTATTAAATAATTTAACCTTGTTTTCTGTTTTGTTTGCAGGGGGAAAAGAAGCTATGTCACGTTAAGAAATCATAAAGATCAGTTGTATTATGCGTATATACATTATGATACCAGAACAAATGTTGATTATCAGAATATCATTTTGGAATACCTCTATACAAATACCACATTGTCTTTAGCCCGTATCGGTATTAGTATGATCCAATATAAAGCTATTATTCTTTATTTAATTCAGTACAATGCTTTTCCTCAAAAATAGTTTTGCCATTTTGTTAGGGTTGAGACGCTAAGAAATGGTTTCAAATGTACATTACACGAACCCTGAACCATTGCAAAATGATGGTGGTTCTCTCTCTCTCTCTCTCTCTCTCTTTACTTTAATCATGCATTATCAACTACATATAAAGCAGCAACCAAAAACTTAGGGTTATCTGAGATAGGTGAAAGTAAGAGTTAAAAAGAAAGTCATGCTAAAACGACGCTTCACTCCCCCCCCCCCCCCCCCCATGAAAAAAATTAAAATAGATTAGTAGTCCTCCTCTCCAGCATCCCCCCCCCCGCTTTAATATCACATTTTCACTTGGCAGCCCAAGGGGGCCGGGGATGGGAGGAGGGGGTTAAACCCCTAACCCCCCCCCCCCCCCCCCCGTAGATCTGCCCATGTTACCATATCATTCCACGACATCTTGGTCTTCCTCTTCTTCTCAATAGGGACTTTTAGATTTGCGTGGACGTGTTACGTCCTTTTAAGGCACTGGCAGTCACAATGTGACGTCCTTTTAAGCACTGACACTGCCTTAAAAGGAGGTCACACGTTTCAGTCCACGTTCCCATCGTGCAAATCTAAAAGTCCCTAATATTGATCTACTGGTCGAGGTTCATTATTTGCTAGTCATTTGAAATCACCAGATTTCAGCGGGTTAACGCTTTCACAACGAAAAACTTCTCCATGACCATGTTTCTGCCCTTGCGCGATCGCCTCCAGCTCCAGCAGACATAGCGCGGCAGCGTGCACACGTACCGCTACTAAGGGCGCAGTAGGCCTATAACCACTGCTGACGGCGGCACTGCACTGTGAGCTGAATCGGTAATAATAGGCCTTCTCATAAAACAAGAAATCTTGCACGCTAATCTGTTATAACAGAAAAGATAATCTTTATTTTATAATTCTACGGGGGCGATTTTTAATTTTGCAATCGCCCCGTGAGCAACCTGACGGGGGCAATTCAAGGCTCACGGGGGCGAATCGCCCACCGCCCCCGTGTATTTTGAGCGCTGCAGCCTTTATTGCCTACTATATTACATTTCACCGTTATATTCTTGCTGTAGCGGTTAACCTCCCCCCCCCCCCCCCTCCTGCACACACACACAAAACAAAAAAACAAAAAATAATTCACCCCCCCCCCCCCACCCAAACAAAAAATATATATTTATATATATATATTTGTCTATTATAAATGACCTTTTGCACAAGTAGAAAATGAATACAAGAACTCCCAATTACTCTTATAGAACCATGCCTCAATTCTTTGAAAAGGTCCCATATTTGGGCTCACCTGATATACAAGCCCCCATCACTGATATTCAGACAGAATTGCGGTCTATTTTCAATGTTTATATCTTAGATATTATGTGAATTAAGAGTAACATTTTTACTACAATAACATTTATTGTTTAGAATACCACCTCTCCTAACTACTACTCACAACAACAAGAGAAACCACACATCTTATTTTTATTGTATAAAAATGTTCTTTTTAATATATAAGATATAATGAACTGATACATTCCAGTCACAACGATTAAAACGAATGATAAATTTAATTTTTTGCCGACTGTAATAAAATTGGCAGTTAAGTCCCATTTCGGGTAAACAGACTCAAAATCAAAATCAAATATTGGTTATATATAATATAGCGTGTCCTTCACGATTGTTAATCTTCTGGATAAGGCCATAACATGTTACGTAACTAAAACCTGAATGCTTGTATCCGTAAAGACGGACCTAATTTAAAATGTACCAATCACCAAAATATATATTTTTGCTCTGCACTTTAGGAGTTCCTGGTCACTATACTGTCTTCAAGATACAAGCCCCAAAATATAACCTAAGAGATACATGTATTGCCATTTTAATAAATACGCTCTCAATTAACATAAAAGGGACTTGTGAGTAGACTAATCAACACACGTCTTTCCGACGTTGACGATAAAGGTCAGTCCACAGACGTAAATAATCATATCTGATTGATACATGTCTGTGAAAACACACACACACAGATCTTGCAAAGATTGAAGAAGAAAAAAAATTGCACAGAACCCAAGTCAGACTTTGGTCCTGTAAGCAGGGTTTTATGTTATTCTTTATTTTCTTTATTTTCTCCATATCCTTAACCATTACCCCATAGAATGCCAAGTAAAGTGTTGTTTTTCAAGTTTAGACATTCTAGCTTACACAAACTCACATTTTGAAGTGATTGGAACGCTTCAACATGGATGAAAGAATGCATCAATTTTATTTTACTCATGTGATATGTGAGTTGATCATTACTGAAGTATCATAAATAGGTATTTTCTTTGTTCACTGATTTCTACATAACTATACACACAGGAAAACAACAAGCGACACCTTTAATGGTTAAGTGGTAATACAGTAGTAGCCATGTGGAAGGAAGGGCAAGTGGCATGTCCAGAAATCGCTAAATAAGGGGTGGGTGGAATCCTCCCCCACATGGGAGAGGGTGACAACGGCACCATGTACTAAGCCTAAGGCAATGAGATAACTTGGGAGTCGATGGGTCATCTTATGTTGAATTTGCGAGTAGTACTGAAATGTAAGAGAATTCAATTAACAAAACTACGCCTTCTGGCCTTGTGCATTACATACTCAATTTACAAAGTCATAATTTTACTTTCTATTTACAATAATTAAAACCTGCTTTGTGCAGTATTTAAATCAACAGTCATAAGCATAATTATATAAAGGATATTCGCATTTAAAATGAATGAAAATTTAACATGTTTTTTCTCTTTCACTCGGAAGTACTTGTAGGGTAGAAATAATTCTATAATGTGAACCTACATACATGAACAAGGATGAAAGTGAAGAGGATATGATGAAAATGATGAAAAACAGATGAACTAAATATGGAAAATAGAATGAATATTAAGACAATAAAGTGATGGATAATGAGAAATAATACATGAAAAGTTTTTTAAAAAGTGTAGAGCTGACATGCTATTCAATTTCACTCCTCCATAATATGTTGTTCGAAAATGAAAAAATATTTATAGCGAGTTGAAATTAATCATAATTTACAATATATGCACATTAAAAATTGTAGATTCCAATGTCTACAGCTCTCTAGTACCCACAGATCGCATGGGGGAAAAAAGATAAGAATTTAGGGGGGACATTCTAGGAAAACAAATGAGACCAAATCATTTTAAAGATGGTAGGCAATTGTGTGACTGGTTTTATATCATATTACTACAATCCATAAGTGATTAGTCCAAGTTTCTTTGTAAATCTCTTGACTTAAAATTCATAATTTATAGGATATTCTATAAACAAAGCTTCATAATGAAGGCCTCTTTGATTTTGTAGACAAAAATGAAGTTCATATCCACAACACGAGTTCACACAGGTGGTCGATATCCTTTGCTCACTTTCCTTTGAAACTGGTTTTATTTACCAGTCAACTCCTGCGCATCGCACTTGTGAGCATGATGAAGTCATGTGATGTTTCCACCGTGTGCCACTTTGAATGAGCTCAAATCATGTACTGGTACGGCTAGATAGTCCTGGGGGATGTTTCACAAACATTCAAAATGGAACTTAACTCTAAGTTGGACTTAAATATTACGGAGAGCCATTTGTAGCCTTAAAATGAAATATATCAAAAAGCAAAAATTGAAGTATTTGAGACTTTTCATAAATTCCACATAAAGAACATAAAATCTCCTTGATAATAGAAAATATGATCAATTCAAATCACATTTTATGCCTTTGAAATAACTTTTACAAAATATTTACAATGATGCTAATGGCTTTCCATAACTATTAAGTCCAACTTGGAGATAGTTCATCTTTGTGAAACACCCCCCTGTATGTATTAGAGAACAGCATTCTAGATTGAGGTGCCATCAATACCGAGGTGGACATGTCCTCCATTCTGGTAGTGTAAGGACACGATGTAGACATGATGTAATAGACATCTTTGCAGGTTATCCTCTCGATCAGTCTTCTTAAGAGATCGACTATCAATTTTATAATTTCAAAAATTGGCAAGAATATTAGATCAACCGGGCACCAGGGTCAACCCTGCCTCATCGTGAATCATGGTCGAGTTATCCAACTAACCAAAATCGATCTCAAATACTCGCATCAATATCTATCTACGGTATTGGAACACCCAAATACATGACTATTTGATGGGAATATGTAAAACAGTTACGGAAGGATTAGTTGAAAATAGTAAGGGTTGAAATTCTATATTGACTTGAAATTCATGGTTGGTTTAATGGTCCGGTGTGTAGCAGGCACATTCACTTGATATGCAGCGTGAGGTAGAGTTTGCCCTGGGATTGAGTAAGCCTGACCCCAATTTTACCAGGTGGTCACAGGAGATATCACAAGCCAGTCTGAATTCAAACTTTAAGTCATCCTCTTAGGTCAAAGGTGAAAGTTGAAGGGTAATACACAAGGCAGGTTTAGCTAGTATTACCATTCCATAGGTGGTTCAATGGTGACGACACGATTCTGGCGGCGTGCCCTATCCGCTGCAAATGTTAGAAGGTCACTCTCGAGAGTGTCCTCCGGACCGGTTGTGATTAAAGGTCAAAGGTGAAAGTTGAAGGGTAATAAACAAGGCAGGTTTAGCTAGTACTTGTATCACCATTCCATAGGTGGTTCAATGGTGACGACACGATTCTGGCGGCGTGCCCTCTCAGCTGCAAATGTTAGAAGGTGGCTCTCGAGAGTGTCCTCTGGACCGGTTGTGATTAGAGATGGATCATCGTTCTAGAGGAAGAAAAGTTGAAAATACAATAATTTCAGTGTTTAATAAATATTACAATACAGTAGAACCTCAGCATAAAGAGCTCTGGTATAACGAGGGATCTCTTAGAACGAAGTGATTTTGATGTTCCCAGCTGTTTATATTCTGTTGTATTTTTCACCTGATATAACAAGATTCCTGGTCCCGGTCTTACAAAGAGTTGCGATTGATCCAAATTGAGTTTCGTCTTTGTGTCACTGACCCCTCGATATATAAAACTGTCACAGTTTTGTTGGCGGCGGTGCACCGCACCGTATCTGAACAAGCTTTTACTATCATGAACATTATGAAGCTGTCGTACAATCCTAGTGACTTACTGCAATGGCTTCCACAAAGTTTTGTATGAGTAAGAAGTCCGCACAGCCGTGTCCCGTTAGCCTCGTCCTGACCGGAGTGATGGACCACGGGTAGATCTCCTTCGTTAGACGGGTCAGGAAGTCATATACATGGATTGATGTGCCTCCTGAATAGGTGATCTCTCCCTTTAAAATGGATAGAACATATAAAGAGATAATGATAATCACTACCGAATAATGATAATAACTATGAAACCTTCTTTTATCATGGTGCATATTACAGTTTATAAGATGATGACGGGGATCCTAATCAAATGATTGGATGAGAGCGTACACGTGACCAGGCATTTATTTTGCCTAACTCGTAATTTGGATAATGACTGGTCATTAGTAAAATCATGTTATCAAACATAATTTCATAAAACAAATAAAACATAATCTTATAAAACAAATAATACACATCATTTTGTTAGGGCATTAGTCAAATTACCCACACTCTGTACCTTCTAAACAGTCCAAACACCCCCGGCTATTGCATCCCGCGTGTTAAACTGTTCCAAAGGTACCTTGTGTGGGTAATTCCTACTAATGCCCTCACTGCTGTGTATTATTTGTATACCGGTAATCCTTCCTAGGAATACTGGCTAATTTGGCACCAGGGCAAACTCAGCCTTGGCAGATATCACGGTCAAATTATCCAAAAGAGCTGACCTGAATCGTGAATACCTACTTGATTTTCACATTAAGAACGTCTATTTGAAACAAATATTAATTGATGGGAATATTTAAAGCAATTACTACAAAGATAATGTTGAAAACATTTTCAGGGATGAAAATCTATAAAAATACAATTTATGGCTATTTAGTCCAGAGTGATGGTGACATGGGACTCCTTACACCAAGGGCAAAACACATCTTGGTGATTTGAACACTTTCAGGATGTAACAGGTGTTTTTTAAGGAAGTGCTGGATATCTCACCTTAGTACCAAATATTCTGACTTGTCTTTCACATATTTTCTCTGTAAAAGCAACCATTGTTAATGTGGCTGTTCTCCCACCATCAAACAGCATGTTCACTACCTGAAAACATCAAGAAGAAGAAAATAAGGCTCAAACCATAAATTTTACTCAAAGAAATTGCACATGATGATATTGGAAAGGCTTGTCAATTAAAAGGTGTGGCTGAACATGCGCTGACTTACTGTATAATTTATTTTAACCTTAAAGATAGTTTGTCCCTTTTGCAGACATAAAATCCTGACGTTCCATGAGTCCAGAGGTATATCAAAGAGGCCTATTATAAGGAACCTCCCACCGAATGAAAATAATAGAAACTGGCATTCAACAAATATATTTTGAATGTTTGATTCCAGATATTTATTTCCTGGACTCGAAAAATATTTGTACTTAATTCGAAATGCATATGACCGTTATACCTGTTGATTTGGGAATAGCTCCCTCTAGTTTTTCATTTCTGACAAAGAAGTTTCAGAACTTAATGACTGTAAAATTTTACCCAAGATATCTGATGGATATTTTTTAAACACTGGACAAGATTCATGGAGTTTGCTTATAGGCTATGGCTGATCAAAGGAAATATATCACCCACTGAATACAGCTTGATTTGGGTAAAATTAATATAACATGATATTCAAGTGCGGCTAGGTATTTTACTCCAGATCTGCTGGAGTATACTGAATGCTTTATACGATTGAAAAGCTTGGAATTTAGAGGTTTAGAAATTACGCAAAACATAAAATGAATTCTAGATCCAGATTCATAAAACTTGTTATCAATAACACAACTGCCCCAGATCTATGACAAAGCTGCTCACTGCCAATAAAAGGGCAATTCCACGGTAACGGAAGGACACTCAGACAAGATTTTTGAACTTCAGGTTCATACTAAAAGAACTGTTTTATTAGTATAAGATGTGAAACAGTACAGATATAATACCTATATAAGTGCCTTTAATTCTCCCCCAAAAAATTGTCATTATAGTTAAGTAGTTTAAGAATGTGCATATTAATTATCTCGGTAACGGAAGGACATAAAAATGGACATGGTTTTTCCAGTTAATTAGTGTTTATCCAAACTTTGTGAAGTTGATGAAGCTTTCCACTTGACTGAAACACATTTTGTTCCCCATAGTTTAATACATACTAATAAAACATTTCTTTTAGTATGAACCTGAAGTTCAAAAATCTTGTCTGAGTGTCCTTCCGTTACCGTGGAATTGCCCAAAAAAATGAATCTGAGTATTTAGTGGATGTACTTACTTGGTTATCACACACGTCATTTTCTCCTTCGTACACACACTTCCCATAAGGCCCTGTTTCTAACGCTTCCCTCACAGAATCAGGCGTAGGGACGTCTGTGATGATTGATACAGGCCATCCAACATTTCCCTGTAAAAAAAACAAAAACTTTTGGTTTTAATATCACTTTATGAACACAGGAAGTAATAGTATATACAATTGTATAGATACTACAAAAGACGCATATAGAAATAGAAGAGACAGAAATGCAAGATCATGTAATATTATTACAATTTAGAACTAATATGTAATATATTATTTATGACGCAATGTCTAGTGATATTAATGTATGTCGTTCAGATACCGTCCGCCTAATGACTTTTTGGTACCCTTTCTTCAAATTGATTTTAATCACTCATGCGTGAGATATGCATCATGTGAGTTGCATCAAATGAAAAAAGAGGATCTAAGCTTTACAAATATGTGTCATTTATTAATTATAATTGTGATTAAGTTATGATAAAACATCGCTAATTCTCGGTTTCGTTTTTTTTTCTGGGAAGCACTCACAGTATCACAGTCTACACACCTAGAACCTGTACCATCAGGCTATTTTTTGTAAACAGTGAAATATTCTGCATGAAGAGTAACATGTTCCTGCACTCACCCTCAACACGTTTCCTAGGTAGAGTTTCTTGGCCGAGTATGCACACTGCTGTTCTATATCACAGTCAACACACCTAGAACCTGCACCCTCAGGCTATATATAAAAATAGAGGAAGAGACAATTTTCATTCTTAAACAGACATAATATTTACACAAATATACACATTACAGAACTGAGCCCATCTTAAAAACAGTTGCGAATAATTGCAACGTATTTGCGATCGATATCAATCACAACTACGTTCATACGAGATAGGGGACTGCAAACTTGCAATTGATTCTGAACACTTGCAACTCTTTCTAAGACGGGGCCCAGGTTTCATAGTTCCTTCACAAACTTTATTCGGCAGGGACAACATATCCTCAATAAAGTACATAATATGAAGATAGATCCACATAACTTAGACGAGTCAGTACTTTTGTCAGTCCCTATGTCTTATGGTAGGTTCAATAATGCAAAAAGGAACATGTATGTATATATGTACATACATGTACGCTAAAAATTGTGATGTTATCTATTCATATCACATTTTTTATTAAGCTTAAACTTTTCCAAGTAAGGTAAGAAAAAGAGGCAAAAGTCATTTGAGAAAATGTGTCTGTATGTCTCAATTTAAAGTTATTCTTTGAAATGTATCACTGATTTTCTGATTCTCACCTTATTTTCTCTCCTGAAGTGTTGCAATGACCCGAAAGAAGACACACATTGACATCTAAATACAAGACCAAAATGAGGAAAAAAGTTAAAGTAGGTCGAGAGAGTTGTATAAAGGCACATGTCTTCTAAAGGGAAATGCAACAATCTTCATTATAAAGTCAGCATTTTCCTTTCCTATGAGGGGTAACTGACTTTCGCGCCATGATGACACCCCTTCCCTTCCTGCAAAACAGTGACAGTTTAAGAAACTGGGTGATTTGTACAAAAGTTTAGATGAACTCATAATATGGGGAATCCCAGTTTTGGCAACTCGGTCAGGATTTGTGCTTTCATACGAATAACATTTCCAAAGTTGTTGTGTATTTTAAATTGAATACTGTTATCATGAAACTCTTTCTCTAATATCAATCATAAAATATGTATTTTTGGGGTCAATGGTACATAACTTACATGTCAATCCATACAAATCGAAAAATGAAATAAAATGTCTGTTCTATCAGAAGAGCTAAGAAAATATTCTGTTTTTCTTGATAATGAAATGATTAATAACAATAATAAATATGTATTTATATCACTTAATACGGACTACCATCTCTTAGTGCTTTCCAGATTTTATAATTACTCTGGTGATCAGATTCATTCACACACAAAGTGTGCACTATTTCTGCACCCTGGGGAGTATTCCTACTATATGGTCACTTTGAGGGCATGAGAATTTCTATCACAAAGGCTTTCATCATCCTACCAGGTCCCCATTGCTCTCCTGGGTACGGAGTGGCAAATGTAGAATAATGCCTTGCCAAAGGACATTAGTGCCATGTCAGGTAGAAGTATAAAAAGCTCACCTATTTGGTCCCATCCACCAGTGAATAAGGTCCATATCATGGCAGCATTTAGCAAGCAGAGAAAATGTTGACTCGGATTCTTTGTGCCAGTTTCCTCTGACATAGGAATGTGCATAATGGTAGAAGCCAACCTAAAAAATATTTTTAAAAATACAACTGATTGAGTCACATGCAACAGGTAAGATAACTTCAATCTTATATATATATAAACAACAATATATATACATTCCATCTCTGGACCAAACTCTTGATTTGTTGTGCCAGTTTTCTCTGGCAAAGGAACGTGCAAAATGGTAGAAACCAACCGAACATACACATTATTCTTATTAAGTAATATTCACAAGGTTATGCATGTTTCACTCTTCATATCAATCATTTATAGTTTCAATCCCATGCTCCGATTCGATCTCTAAACTGATGCTTTTAGCCACTTTCGTAAATCAACGATAAGAGTGACAATATGCATGACTTGAAAATACTGTACAAATACCGACTTGTACCCGGCCTACCCATTGGACCGACAGTTATGAACTGATAGTTATGAACTGACAGTTATAGACCAACTACAAAACTTCAAATCAGAGGATCAAAGTCATTTTATGGGGTTTACAACTGTAGTTTAATCGACAGGCCTGTCAAATGTCAAATGTCAATGCAAGGTATTTTATTGACATCGCTATCACTGCTGTAATGTATTTTAAATTGCAACGTCTTTCGGTGAAAGCATACATAGATTGTTTTCCGGTTCCTGTCCCCAATTTTCATCATGCTCGCGTCCTGCTGTTGGTGATGCATTGTGGGACATGACTGTGGGCATGACACATGGACACATCTAGAGCAGCAGATGGTATTATAATCAGGGGGTGTATCCATATTCCATTGTATGCTAGAAGGGAGGATCTACAAAGACTTTTATTGTTCCTAAGAACGATGGACTTTGAAACCATCTCTCATTACAATGGTTTAGGAACAGAAGGATTATTATTATTATAACTAGATGGAATTCGACTGCGCGCAGTCGAAAATGATGCCTCCGTCATAGAGCAATTTTACAAACCAAAACAGAAGAAATTTTTCAAATTCAAGTTCAATTGTAATCCATTAACAGGTTCTCAGAATATCGTGATTACAAACAATTTCTCATATACATATATGACCCTTTGAACTTTGACCTCATGATCCTAATATCTACTCAGCTCATTGGCTCTGCAAGATATCCAGAGTTAAATAGTAATCCATCTGTCAGTTCTAATGAGAATGCGTTCACAAGCTATTTTTGCATACATAATGAGCCCATGACCTTGGACCTTATGAACCAAGAATCTACACAGTTCATTGGCTCTGCAAGATACATAAATGATCTAAGTTTGGCAGGAATCCATCAATCTGTTCTAATGATAACGCGATCACAAGCTGTTTTTGCATACATAATGGGCGCTGTGACCTTTGACCTTTGACCTCGTTACCCAAAATCTAATAAGTTCATCGGCTCTGCAAGTAACATACATGACCTAAGTTTGGCAGGAATCCATCAATCGGTTCTTGAGATAACGCGATCACAAGCTGTTTTTGCATACATAATGAGCCCTGTGACCTTTGACCTTTGACCTCGTGACCCCAAAATCTAATCAGTTCATTGGCTCTGCAAGATACATACATGACCAAAGTTTGGAAGGAATCCATCTATCGGTTCTTCAGATAACGCGATCACGAGCCGTTTTGCATACATAATGAGCCCTGTGACCTTTGACCTTTGACCTCGTCACCCCAAAATCTAATCAGTTCATCGACTCTACAAGATACATACATGACCAAAGTTTGGCAGGAATCCATCCATCGGTTCTTCAGATAACGCGATCACGAGCTGTTTTTGCATACATAATGAGCCCTGTGACCTTTGACCTTTGACCTCGTGACCCCAAAATCTAATCAGTTCATCGACTTTGCTAGATACATATATGACCAAAGTTTGGTAGGAATCCATTGATCCGTTCTTCAGATAACGTGATCACGAGAACGGGACGTACGTACAGACGTACGTACAGACGTACGGACGGACGGACGGACGGACGGACGGACGGACAACCCGAAAACATAATGCCTCCGGCTACTTCGTAACGGAGGCATAAAAATGATGATAAGGCAATAAACTGTTACAAATTGTGATAACATGATGAATATTAAAAGATACAGTAAAACCTGCATTAGTGACCACCAATTCACAAAGACCAAATGTTTTCCCCTTGAAAATGGTTTCCCATTGAAACAAGTACTATAAAAGGAACCTGTCTACAAAGACCATTTTTTTTTTATTCCCTTGGGCGGTCGCTACAGACATTTTTGATGGTACATGAATCTGAATTAGTGTCAGTAGAATACTCTGGCTTTACAACTCACTGGTTCTAAATGCTGAATGTTGACGACATCTCCTATAACACCTGACACGATCAGCTCCTTGATCTTCTTGGTCGGGGGAAAGTGTCGTAAGACATGACAGACGGCCAACATGACTTTGTTCTCTTTACAGGTCTTAACTATCTTCCTGCAATCCTCTTCAGTAACCTACAGTAATATGACATATACAACTATTTACGATTCCAACTGCATTAGTAAATAATTAATGAGTCAATATTAAATAGCCTTGAGTAGGATATCCACAAGCTGATGAGCATATTGCATGACTTGGCACAAGTAGGGAAATATTCCCAAAGTGAGTGTGATATACGCTTGTATCTCATGAAAGAAAAGCCATTCAATATATTTCATGAAATCTAGTATCTCAACTTCCCCTGTTACATCCTTTTATTTTTTTATTAACTTACAACGATAAACTCATGGATCAAAATATTTGTCCCAACCAAGGTTTTTTTATCAGGGCTGTGCACGTATAACCAATAGCCTATGCATATTTAAACGTATATTCCCTTTTTACGCGTTTGCACACCCCAAACCAAAGGATATGAAAAAAATTGCATGATCATCCAGGTACTTTTTCACAAACCATGAGATCTTGTTTTAAAATTGCACAGTCTTCAGGGCTCTTTGGCGTAAATCGTAAGAAACATATATTGTCCTGGTCAAATCCCTCTAGTACAAATAATAATGACTGATGTCACATACAGGTAAGCACAGCCAAACAGTAGTATCTCAAATTTTGTAAGTGCTTAGGCATGCATACGCACATCTGAGCCATGCATAATTCCTTTTTTTAAGGATTTGAAGATTTAAAGGATTTTAAAGATTTTTTTGTTTGCACAGTAGGAAAGTACAAGATGAATAAGACTACTTCTCTAATATGCCTTCACCCATATGTATATTCACAGATCAATTATCCTGTATTAACATTTTTAAAATATTTTTTATAACTTCTTAGCTTATTAACAACTTATAGTTCTTAATAATAAATTATTGATATTTGTCTGAAATAAATGTCTTACTCCTTAAATTTACTTACTGCCATTGGTTTCTCCAAAAGTATATGGTATCCTTTAGCAGCACAGGCTAATGCTGGTTCCTAAATTCATTTTTTTTAAAGGACATAAATTATAATGTTAAGCGTAGAGAAGTTCAACTTGTTGTTTCATATCATATAATATCATCACATCATATATACAAATATCATAAAAACATATCCTATAAACATACCATATAATCATATCATATGATCATTTCATATATAATCATATCATATAAAAATATCATATAAACATATCATATAATCATATCACATAATCATATCATATAAAAATATGATATAATCATATCACCTTTACCACATACTAACTACTATTTTATACATTTATATACTTTTGGACAATATCTTTACTTCCTTTCATAAGTTAAAATTGGATAATAGAAAGCAAATGCACTTTCATTGACTCTCTCACAATGTGCATGCATCTTGTGTACACATAGCAAAACAAGATTTGCTATATTAGATGAAGAGTACAATTTGACCCAACTCTTGTAAAACATACTTGAAGGTCGGTTGACATCCTAATATAAATTGATTCCTGTTGATGTGCAGGGCTGCAAAATACAACTCATATTTTGTTATTCAAACATCTAAATATATTTCATAGATTTTTAAATATTTGTTAAAGTAATTTTCCGTCAATCATTAGTGAGCTAACAAGATACAGTGGTATGTAGCTTCACCAGAGCTGACTACCCATTTACAGTAGACCATACAATACCAACATAGGAGTTGCTACATGTATGTCTGACGTGCTGTATCACCAGGAAAAGAAAGGCAATGTGGAGGTATTGTATGAAAGAATGCTATTCTTTTGTGAGCATGTGCTGAGCTGGGGGAAGTTACATACCACTGTCTCTTGTTAGCTAACTAATGATTGAAAGATAATGTCACAAGATGAATGAGATCTGGAGCATTTTTTTAGGGTGGAGCTTAGCAGGTCTGAGAAAATTACTTTAACAAATATTTAAAAATCTATGAAATCTATTTAGATGTTTGAATAACAAAATATGAGTTGTATGCAGCCCTGCACATCAACAGAAATCAACTTATATTTGGATGTCACCCAACCTGTAGGTCACTGTAATCAAGAAATGCTTCTAAATTTGTTTACCTGCAAGGGGAAATGATGGAAATGAATCATTGGACATTTATAAGAGATAAAGGACTAAATCTTATTATTGATTTAATACTACACTCTGCAACAAAAAAAGAAAAAAGAAAATAAAGTAGGCATTATTTACAGTTACGATAAATATTTAATATACACCTTTCTTTCATAAACTAAAATAAACATAAATTAATACTCTTTAAGTGATAAGTAATTGAAACCAAACCATTTATAAAATGGGGCATCTCCCCATGCAAAAACCTTGATTAGCATTGGAAGGCTCAACCACAAGCTCTGGTGGAAAGGAGAGGCATTTTGACCTTGCTTGTCATAACCATGCAGTCCTGAGACTACAATTGACATTCAGGGGGCGGGGGCCGTTGCTTGAAAACCGTCATAAGTCTAACTTCTTAGACATTAGGGCTGCGACGTGTAGTCGAATGCTCGAGTACCCGCACGGTTGACCACTACTCGGGTATGATTTCTCGTACCCGAATATTCGGCCGCAAAAAAAAAAAAAAAAAAAAATCTGTCCAGGCCGACGCTTACCCGTGCCTGGGTGAGCGGCAACTGCTGGCATGGTGCCGTCGGTAAAATGTTTCCCAACTCAAGCACTGTCAAACTCACCACTCAGAAACTGAGACCAAATGTCTGGATTTCTGTTTGGACTTGGAGGAAAATGGATTATTCTGCCATCTTTGGTTTTTAAAACAGCATTGTTTACTGTTATTATTATTATTATTAAATCGGTGCCTTCAACTTCAACTCGAAGTAAAATTGCATGCGTTTTCGGCGACGTGGGATACTGCCCCAGTGGTATGGTGGTGGCAAAAAAAAATCAAAAAAAAAAATTCAAAAAAATTATAAAAAAACATGGCGTCCGAATACTCAAGTATTCACTTGTGAGCCTGGGAGTGTACTCGGGTACCTCATTACACTGTTGTGCACAGCCTTAATAGACATCCCATTGAAACATGTATTATAGAATTAACACATGTTTCTATAGGATGTCCACGAACTTGGACTTATGACGGTATTGAGAAACTGGCCCCAGAGCTCAATCATCCTCGCTGTTTCTTATTCTTTTATTTTCATTGTAGAACAAGAATATCTTACAGATGCACATGTTCATTTACATTTGAATGGCTACGTGCTCAATTTTTGCAATTCTCTTAATCAGACCTTCTAACGGTAGAGAGAATGTGCCCATCGAACCGTGAAAGTTCAAAACTTGATCTTAATTGATGTTGGGATAGCATTAATTTTTCTTCAATTTGATATGGTTTTCATTGCATTAATGTCTTATATGTGAAATGTTGAGCAATAAAAAGAGTCCATGTTCTTTTTTCTTTTTTTCTTTTTTTTTGGGGGGAGGGGGAGGCTGAGAGTATTTACTTACTAGGTGATGTCTATCTGGTGTGGCAATTATGGCTGCATTGGCAAACTTATTCTGCTCCAAGAGATCGCTCCAATCTAGAGGGGGTGAAATAAATAAAGAAACAATTTTTTGGGTAATACAGTGGAAAATTGTTACGAAGAGCTTGGATATAACAAGGTAATTTGGTGGTCCCAGCTCTTTATTATTATTTTATTTGTAGTTGTTTTATTTTTATTATGCTGATCTGACAAGATATGCGACACAAGGTTACTTCCATGGACTCAACGTCTTCTTTTTAACAAGTTTCCACTTTAAAAGTTGAGTAACTGCTTATACTCCTGCATATTGAAATAATTGAAACAAGAAACATGGTGAAATAAAGTACTGAAATAAGGAGGTTTTCATTATTTAGATTTTCCATAATCAAAATTTTGCACTGTTCCTATAAAACTAGTTTTCTTTTTCATTTTCATTCTACTTGTACATTTGAAAACGTATACAAGCTGCCTCATTAATAATTGGAAGACCTATACTTTGTCGACTTTATTCATAAGCTCTAATATCATTTCTAAATTTTCAGATTACGTACATCAAGCTCTAACTTGTTGCTTTGAGTGACTTTGAGTGACAGGAAATGACACGTGAAACGGAAGTCTACCTGATATTAAGTTGGTTTTTATAAGAGCAGAAAAATGAGAGAAACAGATCAGTAAATGTTAAATTTGATTAAAAAACTGGTAACATTTGCCTGAATTAACTAAAGTTGTAATCGTTCAAAGGCAAATAGGCAATTCCAAGACATACCTTTCCATGACCTCTGTACTATAACACTTACAAAAGTTCCATTTTGTCAGAAGGAAATATGTGCATCCTACATGTCATTACTACATACATGTATGTTTTTCTTGAACCGACAAAATATCAGGACAGACTTCCCCTTTTACAATGTGACTTTGAACTTTCCAATAAATGCAAACCAATAATAGCCGGTAAACTGTAGCGTACTGAAAGAAGTAGTTGTGACATGCCTATGCATATGCAGTCATAGGCTAAATCATGAAGCTCCCATAGTTCACTCCCAATACAATCTTTATTGGACGGGGCTATTTGAGACTCCATGTAAATGACCGCCCAAACTGAAGCAACTGGCCGCGATGCAACTATCTCTCTCAAGCAGCTACATATACAGGATAAACTCACCTTCAAAGACATTCTCTGAAGGAATGTCGAAGATCTTCTGCATGTGAGTCCGAACAAACTTCCTTTTGTCTGCCACACCCACAATCTAAAGATTTAAAGTCAAACAAGAAATTAACATTGGTGCTAAAAACATATTTTTAAACCCATGTCTAAAGTGAATTTGAAATTTTGACTCCATTGGTTGATTATAGCCCTCTCAAGCATTTCCAGGTATTTCAAATTGTTTTGGTTCCCATGAACTTTCTCTGAAAAGTTGATAAAAACTTTGTCAATCTATTTCTCTCACATGTCTACACAGACATTGAAATTAAGTGCATTGTTAGATATTAAAATCCCTTTTGTGCTACTGGGTTGACTATTAAATAATCATAAAAAGAACTTGCAAATTATATTCATACCTTACCTTTAGTTTATCAGGGAATTCTAGAGCATAACCAGAGTAGGTCTGCCCTCTATTGCCAGCACCAATCACAATAGCAGTGACAAGCTTTGCCTCCCTCGGTGGCTCGGCATTGTCTTCATTCATACTCTCAGCCATGTCTGGTTCTTTGTCTTGTCTGATGTGAGAAACATACATAATGAACAAGAAGAGAAAGATGTGTTTCATGTAGAGGAACTTCAAACTTGAACCTGAATCTAGATGCGATCGCCATGGTGTTATAGTAACTACGTATTACAAAGTTCCAAGGCTGAATTTAAAGACTCCTTGCACACGCTTTCTAGTTATAAAGTTGGGAAAAATGCCCGTTTTTTGGCGTACAGCATGCCACGTTTATTTGCATTTGCGACAGAACCAAAATAGTGAACTCTCGTCAGAGTTCAGCGTTTTTAGGAATGTAAATAGCATTGTTAGCTCATTTATCATCAAGAACATTTGAAAGATATGCAAGTGAAGTGAGCGTGTTTTTTTTTTTTTTTTTTTTTTTTTGGGGGGGGGGGGGGGGGGTATGGAGCTCTTTTATTTTGTTTTATACTCACATCCCCCCCCCCCTTGAGCAGCAACAACATCAAGAAAAAATACCTTTATTTTCCAGGGGAGGGGGCCCCCGTCTTCTTCTTTTTTTTAAAGCAAAATTAATGTTAATATCTTTTTTTCAAACCTATTTTGAGGGGCCAGAGGAGGGAAGGAAGGGCCTGCACCTGCCCCCCACCCCTCCCCCCCCCCTCCCCACCCATGGATTCGCCACTGCAGCTGCATTTCAGGTTTTTTGTGTAGATCTAGACCAAGTTAGAATCTAGTACTAGACTAGTAGATTTTCTACAGTAGACCTAGTCTACTACACTACAGTACAGCCAGGCCTAGATCTACATCGTGTCATCAGACATCAGTCTTCACGCAGCTGCAGACAAATCGGTGCTTGGTAATATAAATAGTATACTATCATATTGAAACTAGAAAACTCTGTCTAAATCATGCGTAGATTGACGCTAGAAGTTCGACATTTGGTACAGCCAGGTACCCGTCCGATCAGGGATGGGCCCGTTCGCCCGCGCCCGTGCCGTGTCGGCCGAGCGGATGGGATGGAAACCCGACCCTGGCTTATCGCTCACACACTGACACACTCACAGCTCAGCTCAGCTGATCAACAAAATCAAAACACGGCGACAGAATCCTGCTGCAAGCGGCAATACCGAGATTTACAGTTTGAAATAATTGAACAACGATGGTATATTTATTACTGAAATAACAGGAAAAATATATGCTTACTTTGATTCATTAAAAACTAATGACACAGGGCATAACTCTTACCCGTCTTTCTTTTTCGGTTTAGATCGAGTTCGGAAAAGTCTAGACCGAATTTTCCGTCTCTTTCGTTCGTTAGCCTCTTATTGGGGTAGGGTCGGCTCTCTCTTTAGAGACGGAAGCCGTTTATACACATGTCCTTGCTAACGCCACGGCCAGTTCTGGTCGTAGCGTTTTGCCCCCAAAATCCCCCAAAATGTCATTTTACCTCGAGCATGTTATATTGTAAATTAGGCCTAGGCTATAATAAATCAGTTCCACTTACCAACTTGACTGAAATAATCAGTTTAATAGTCCCTTTTTAGGAAATTATGGGTCAAAATCGGAATCCATGTTGAAAAAGATTTTCAAAATGGATTTCCATTTTGACCCATAATTTCCTAAAAAGGGTCTATTAAACTGATTATTTCAGTCAAGTTGGTAAGTGGAACTGATTTATTATAGCCTAGGCCTAATTTACAATATAACATGCTCGAGGTAAAATGACATTTTGGGGGATTTTGGGGGATTTTGGGGGCAAAACGCTACGACCAGAACTGGCCGTGGCGTTAGCAAGGACATGTGTATAAACGGCTTCCGTCTCTAAAGAGAGAGCCGACCCTACCCCAATAAGAGGCTAACGAACGAAAGAGACGGAAAATTCGGTCTAGGAAAAGTCGAGAAAACATCACCGAGTCGATCGCGAACTGAAGATGCCGACAAATTCGTAAAGTACTGTACTACGGTAGCTTGGCTTTCGTCTACAAAAGAAATTTTATAAAAAAATTCGAGGTAATAAACAGATAGATTACTGGTTACTGAGTAAATGAGAAAATTAGTAAATAAATCATTAAATAAAATTCAGAAATAAATGAATACATAAATACATACATGAATAAATAAATGAATGAATAAATTAATGAATAAATTAATGAATAAATTAATAAATTTATGAATTCATAAAAAGGTAATATCCCTGATAAACTTCAGTATCCATAACATCACGAGCCAGAGCCATACCATTACGAGTTCCTATAGGAAATCTATTTATTCAGATCGTCATATCTCAGCCAACTTCAGTACTCAACACATTCAGTTGGTTTTCGACATTTGGACTTTATTTTTGAAGTCTTTCGGAAAATGAAGTCAAAATTGATAAGTTCTAAAAATAGATTTGTATGATGTTACAGCTTCGGTACTCAGGGGAGGGGGTCGCCCCGATTAAATCATTTATGTTGTGAAGAAAATGAAAGTTTTATGAAAATGTATCACTCTACCGTTTCCGTATAGATTACATACTGACTTAATTAATTCGGCTGCATGTTTTAGTTGATCGCAAAGTGTCTGTCATGATCGAGAGGCAGTTCCCCCCCCCCCGCCCCCCCCCCCCCCCCCGCCCCGCTTACCCTTAGTACTTGCCACTCCCATAGTGCTTTCAACGTGTTCGATGCTCCAAACACCTTGTATAAATATCAGCCCCGCCCCACACCCTCCAATTTTTCTCTAATTTCATGGTCATCGTTTTCAATAAATATGAGTCTTACCCTTTAATTGCGACGAGCTTTATATATTTTAGTCGATTGTTCGTTTTCGAGTCCCGCGGTGCCAACTGGTCTGTTGAACTAGAGTTCTATTCGTGAAGATTTAGCATGCAGCGACATCAGAGAGAAAAACGTTTCGAACAACCGTATGAACTTATAATTTATAGGCCTACTTGCAATATACATATATGCGACGGTGGAAATGGAAATGACGCGCGGTGGCAGGATATACAGGGCGTATCAATAAAGAGTTTACAAAACTTTGGTAGCTCCTAATTGAATAGTAATAACCAATATGACTTTGGAATTGCTTTCATCATGAAGAGGATAACTTATTTTTTGTCCAATGATACCCTATTCATAATAATTTCTGCCACGGGTGAATGAGCAGCAGGGTCTTTAAAAAGTGTTGTCGAAATCGCCTTGTTCCAAGTTTGGGCTTTAGGGACCAATGTAGGATCAGGCCATTTAATGCTCGAACCACATTCATTGCTTCAACCAGAGGCGGCGGACCCGGGGGCAGGGGGGCACAGTGCCCCCCACTTTTTCAAGTACCCACAAAGTGCCCCTTTTTCCATGGGAAAAGTGCCCCTTTAACTTTGTAAGAAGCGCCCCTTTTTACATAAGAAGTGCCCCTATTACTTTGATATGTGCCCCTGCTAATTTTTAAAAGTGCCCCCCTCCTTTCCACCTCTGATATGTGCCCCTTTTATTTTGACACGTACCTCTTTTCCCAGACAAGTTCCCAGTTTCCTTTGCAATAAGTGTCTATTTTCCATTCTCATAAATGCCCTTTTTAATCTCTAGTAAGTGCCTCTTTTCGGATACGAGAAGCGCCCCTTTTCACTTTTGTTAAGCGCCTCCTTCACCTCTGATAATTGCCCTATTCAAATCTTAGAGGTGCCCCTTTTACTTTGACAATTGCCCCTTTTCCTTTGTAAGAAGTGCCCCTTTCCCTTTTAATAACTACCTCTTTTTAACTCGGATAAGCGCACCTTATATTTTCACATGTGCCCCCTTTCCTTTCTAATAAGTGCCCCTTTTCCTTATGATAAGTGCCCCCATTTAACAAAGAGCCCTTCGCCTTTTCATAAATGCCCCTTTTCACCTATGAAAATAGTCCTTTTTCATTCTCCTACTAGTGCTCCTTTTCATGTCTGGTAAATGACCCTATTCAATTCTGAGAGACAATCGTTTTATTTTGACAAGTGCCCCCTTTTCCTCCTGATAAGTGCTCTTTTCATCTCTAATAACACCCACTTTTATTTTGACACGTGCCCCTTTTCCTTCCTAATAAATGCTCTTTTTCCTTCATAATTTCCGCTTTTCATAAAAGCCCCCTTTCACCTCCAATAAATGCCCCTATCAAAATCTGATCGGTGCTCCTTTTCTTTCAACAAATGCACATTTCCCTTTATTATTAGTGCCCCTTTTTCATTCTCATAAGTGCCTCTTTCATATATGGTGTTTGCCCCTTTTCAGGTGCGATAAGTGCCCCTTTTCACCTCTGATAATAAACCTTTTTTAACAATGATACGTGCCCCTTTTCCTTTCTTATGAGGAACCTATCCCTTTTTCATAAATGCCCCTATCAAAATCTGATGGTTGCCTCTTTTCCGTCGACAAATGCCCAATTTCCATTCTCATAAGTGCCTTTTCATCCCTGGTGAGTGCCCCATTTTCACCTCTGATAATAACCCTTTGTACTTTGACACGTGCTCCTTTTATTTTCTAATAAGTGTCTTATCCCTTCGATAAGCGTCCCCCTTTCCTCTCACCATTAAACGTGCCCCTAATTTCAAGCGACTAAGAGCAATATCTCCCAAAGCTCGCTCGCTACGCTCGCTCACATTTATAGATGTTATAATTATGTTACTTATCAAAGGTCTTTTCAGTTTGCTGTTATGAAAATGTGCTTATTTATACCCCGATGAGGATTGGTTTTTTCCTCTGTATAAGATGTACTTTTCGCACTGTGACCTCACAAATCTTATATTTTTCCTCGCTCGCAAATGATTTTTTTCGACCATCACACCCAACTGCAAGGTATGATGCTTTTAAAAGCAATATGTTATACGATGTATAAAGAGAAACAAATATTGAAATCATCCCTGATAATGTAATCAAATTTTAGGGGTATATACCAATGCCTAAAAATTGTTTATTTTCGCTATGAGATTTCCCTTTGTAGGTGCCATTTTTCCCCAGAAAGTGCCCTTTTTTGTTGGTGCCCCCCCCCCCCCCCACTTGGAAGTGGCTCCGCCGCCTCTGGCTTCAACCCAAACTTGGTACAAGAGGATTTCGACAATACTTTTTGGCAGCACAATCATGAAATTGGTATAATTAGACAGGGTATTAGTTTGTCTTTACATTAAAATATGATTCAAGGCTTTCTACACAGGTTACAACTTTTTAATCAGAAACTACCAAAGTTGGGTAAACTTTTTTTGTATACGCACTGTATAGGCCTAACTTGTGTGTCAATGAACGTACAAAGTTCATAAGATCACATCCGCTATTGATCAGTATCAATCATAAGCTTGTATTGTTGCTGCTTCATGAAATAACTCAACATATATGTCTATATATCAAGGATTCAAAACAAACCATAAAGTATTGCATGATTAGATTCATGTATATCGATGCACATGCATATAGGCCTAACACAAATTCAAGTTAAATTCAAATTGATTTATTGATAACAGGTGAGCTCAAATCATACCCGTGGGCCGGGCCATAATATGGCAACAGCTAGATTTGGGCTATTTACAAGCGAGTGATGCAAGTGAGCAAACTAATGACCACTATTTTTTTTCCCCAATTCGTGAAAATTTTAACCCCCCCCCCCCCTGGGCAAAAGTTTGCCAAGGGGAGTCCGGGCCCCCGGTCCCCCCTTCCCCTGGATCCACCGACAGAAACATTGAGGGGGTAACCCCCCCCCCCCACCCTGCGTAGGCACTATGCATCTGGTAATAAGCATTTCCTTGAGTTTGATTTGATAATACACCTTTTCCTTTCCTTTAATAGTCAATGTAAATAAAACGTTCTTGAATAAGACAACACACACAAAATGGCTTTATTTGACCCACATTGCTTCAGCCCAAACTTGGTACGAGAGGATTTTGACAATTCCTTCTTTTTTTTTCCGGGCCCCCGGTCCCCCACCTTCCCCTGGATCCGCCACCGACAAATACATTATGACACAAGGTATGGGCACACAGAAAAAAAGCGTACACTTTTTTTTTTTTTTTTTTTTTAGCCCAAAAAAAAATCGCAACGACTCAGCCAGCCGAAATGTCGCTCAGTGGGGGGGGGGGGGGGGGGGGGGGGGGGGGGTGGGGGGGGGGGGGGGGGTAAGCGGACACTTTTTTTTTTTTTTTGGTCTCGAAATTTGAAAATTTGACATTTTTCTTCGTTGGGGGGGGGGGGGGTAAGGTCAAAAAAAAAATCCAAAGGGGGGGGGTTTGAACCCCCAACCCCCCCCCCCCCTGCGTACGCCCCTGATAACGATACCAGGGG